ACTTACCTTACTTTTTACGTTTTTATTTTATTTAAGTAAAACGTAAAACTTAAATACTACTAACTACCTACCTACGTACCCCACCCTACCCCCCCCCTCCCCCTCCTCTACTTAGTCTAATAAGTAAACGAAACTACTCTCTCTCTCTCTCTCTCTCTCTCTCTCTCTCTAGAGGAGGCAATGAAGAGCAACAAAGCATGGATTTTCTAATGAGAGCTAGCAACATCCTATGACACTATTTTCATTTGAACTTACATGTAAGAGTCTTTTGTATGTGGTAGGTTTTGATTTGGTGGCTTTAAAATATAGTGTTTCCCTCTTCTTAAGGAGTAGGTTGGCATGTTTTGCATGAGGGGTGATATAAATTTAGTTTCTCTTATTTAATAAGCCCCGAAATTGATGTTAATTCCTTTCAATTTTTTAATGTAATTTCAAAATACTTCTAAAAAAGATTGTATACAATGAGACCATTTACCTTTGATACAACGATCTCATAATTACTTATAAACATTCGATGTGAAATCTGATAACTTGAGTATATTACAAACCTAGAGAAAATTTCTTTTGAAGTTCGAACTTGACCTCTAAAATAAATGCAACCATCCAATTTCACATCCAATGGTAAAGATTAATTGTGACCACCTCGTATCAAAAAGTAAATGGCATCATTGTATATTACATTTGTTTTATTTAACAAATCAAGATTTATATTTTAGCAAATGATTTCCTTTTTGAAAGGTATTTGAGTGAATCCTTTCTGTTTGCTATAATGAGCTAGCTCCCATAGTGGCCCACTTCACTACAAGAAAACTGTCACTGCCTGAATTTCTATTTTTCCTTATCTGTGGAAAAGTTCAAAAAAACTATTTCTCCCTTTCTGTGGAATGAAAATGGTACAACACCTAATTGAAAAGATTCTCTCTGTGTTTATCTTAAATGGATAGGGTTAAGAGTTCAATCAACACAAAAGGACAACCATTTGTGCAATAACTGGTGCATCGCTGAGATTGCCAATATCTGTGCATAAAGTCAAGGAAATTGGAGCATTTGTTCTTGGTCTTCATTATGAGGTTCCTTTCAATCCCACATAGGCACATAGAGAGAGAGAGAGAGAGAGAGAGACCATGGTAATGAGCATCAAGCATCATCTAGTCATCCTCCACCCAAGTAGCATTCGAGCAACCGAAACCACAAGTAATGTGGCTCATTGCCAATACAACCAAGGGTTGGGGTAAGACATGCCCAAAGAAACAGCCATTAAGGACAAAATAAATAAATGAAAGCACATAATGGGCAAGCTCAATGCTCTTCACGACTAGCCTTCATTAACCGTATCAACAATGCTCTCAAAAGTTATTTAATCCCCAAATCACTTGTGAGAGAAAACAGGGAGATCAGGGCCTAAACACACGGTAAAACCCCAAGGTTTAAAATCCCAGCTTACCCACCCAAAAAAAAATCATGAGAGCAAATTATATGAACCAATATCATAGGAAAAATGGTGGTTTCCACCTATGCAAAATCATATGCACTGATCAATGCAGAAGGTGTATGTGTATGCATGTCCGTGCCTCTATATACACATGCACATACATGCACATACTAGCACATGCATGAATGAACGGGATGCATGTATGTGTGCTTGTATGTATGTATGTACAACATACAGAAACATATGCACCTAGTCGTCATGATGATGATGATCATGGACCACGATGCTTGCCAAGGCAGAAGCAACCATGGGCTGCTTGGTCATCAGGTATCATGCCACCACCCTTGCTTGTGTCAATGGCCTCTAAGAGCCTCACAACCTCATCCATGTCAGGTCTCTTCTCTGAGTTTGCATCCCAACACTTGCGCATAACATTCACCAGCGAACTTGGACAGCAACGAGGTATCTCGGGTCTCAAGTTCTGTGCACAAAAAGAGAGACAAGGTGTAAAGGCCCACTCAAAACGTTCCACAGAGAGGAGAGAACCATTATGCTATGGGGTTCATTAAATTTATAGGAACAATGGTGACAATAGTTAATTTGTGTATTTGTTATTTATTATAAAATCAATACCTCTGATAATGAAAACCTCTGTTTGTTCTCTCTGTTTTTTTTTGTGTATATGTGTGAGTGTGTGGGTGTGGGTTTGGGTGGGAGAGAGAGAGAGAGATCAAATGCAATGTCAAAAGTCCAGGACTTGATATCGCAAAAATGAGAGAGACTACTGCAACTGGGTAATAACTTTCAGCATCTGCAACCGTAAAGGGGGATACTTATACTATTGTGACCTTCCAAAAAGAATGCTTTACAGTTGTAACTCAGTCTCGAATACTTCCAAGGAATAAAGAATATTTTGGTCATAGTCTATGCCAGATTTATAAAGTATATCAGCCCTCCCTAGTGCATTAAGTTTTTTTGAACTTCTAGTACATTAAGTTTTCACAAAATCAACATAAAACTTCATAGCTAGTCCTAATAATGGAGACTTATGCTCATTGGTGAGTACTGAGAAAATAACAATAGACTACTAACCTGCCTAACAACAGCAGCAGAGACTTCTGCAAAACTGAGATCAGGATATGGCATTTCACAGCAGTATATCTCCCATAAGCAGATGCCAAAGCTATACACATCGCATCTTCTATTATAAGGTTTGCCATTCAGGACCTGCAAGATCGATAATAGTTTTCATGAAACCTGGTGAACAGTCAAAAGAAACACCAACTGAACCACAACAGGAAAAAAAGAATTTTTTTTGGAATCTAATTCTCCTACTCGTGGTTACGAACACCCTTACCACAGACAATACCTATGCTTTGCTTCTCATAGTCGATCAACAAAAAAAAAGGAAGAAAAAAAGTGAGAAACAATCCCCTCCATTTTAGGAGCCCTTTTCTCTCATCCTAATTTCCATCCCACAAATAGAAAAACTGTTGCATCGTGGTCTCTCACTCATTCTGCTTTCTCTCATGCTCCTGTTGTTCATTGTTACTTCAATTTCCACTCTCTCTTTCATCTTACATTGTTACTGTTATTACACCCAGAGAAAGAAATAGACATCATTCTCTTTCCATTTATTTCTAAGATTCGTGTTTCTGTAAAGAACTAGATATTTACTAAACTTTTTTTTTTTTATAATGGGATTGTCTACAAAGAGACTATTTATCTTTATTACAAGGCGGTCACAACTATTCCTACTCATTGGATGTCAAATTCGATGGCTTGGGGTGAGTCATGAAGTTCCAGAATTTGTTTTTGGAACTTTGTGTCTATTCAATGACACTAATACAACCACCCATTTTGAAATTTAAAGGACAAGAATGATTGCGACCTCCTTATACAAAAAATAATTGGTTTCTTTGTAGACAATACCTTTCATAATTCATATTTTTATATTTGTTTTACCAAAGAGACACATATAATGTCCCAAAAGAAAAAAGAGAAAACCCTAAAATGTTGAGAAATATCTTTTCAAGAAATGCGAAACCAATAAAAGAAATCATGATATTTTGTCAATTATGTACATACAAGAGAAGCCTCTATAGAAAGAAAGCTAGTACCGAAGTCATCCAATTACCTCTGGAGCCATGTATCCAAGGGTACCAGTCTCGCCAGTCATATCCTTTGGGTTTTGAGCTTCAACTCGTGCAACTCCAAAATCAGCAATTTTTAGTGTCCTTGATGCATCTAGCAACATGTTTTCAGTTTTAACATCACGATGCACAATCTTCTTTGAGTGAAGATAGCTTAGCCTGTTCACACACTAAATTTAATCAAACAACATACTTAAAAATAAAGAAATAAACCTGAAAAGTTCAGTTGCAGCCCATTGGAAATAGAAAAGGAAAGAAAAATTCTTAGAACCCTTAAATTGAAAGTACTCAAAAAACTAGGCTCGTCTTCACAAAGTGACAGTCTCACCCTCTAGAAAGGTCCAAAGCAAGCTGAATAACAATTTTAAATGCAAGTTTCTTCCTCCTGTTTTTTATCAGGAACTTTTTCAATGTACCCCCAGGAAGATACTCCACAACAACACAGCATGCCCTAGAAGGAATGGAACTATAACAATTTGCCGAATTATTAGCTGGAATCTTAAGTTCTGAAGTTCCCATTGAAGCTCCAACAAACTGCAACGGAGATCACAAGATGTCATGATTATAATCTTTTCATTGACAAAAGAAAGTTAAAATGTACCAAACTTATAATTCAAAAAAAGAATTCAGTCACAAAACTCAATCCTTGCATTTGGATGCACCTTATAATAATAATCATGGGATGTAAGAACTGCAAACATCGTTAACATTGTTAACTAATCAAACAAAAAGAAACTCTCTCTACTAGCCTAAGGTGCCCCGATACTGATAAAGGATACTAGGAAGGATACAGAGAGCAGGGATATGACTCTACAGTTCTGAGAATCCAGGATACAGATAAATAGGAGTATACTATCTGACACAAAGATGAATATATATTGTCGTAGCTCGTATAATACTAAATGCATGCATGACACACACATGCACCCACACACGCACAGACATGCACACACACACACACACGGACATGTGTGTATAGACACACTCACGGATATGTTACACCCCATTATATCATAAAACATAATTATATATTTTATATCTTTTATGTTACATCACTATCAGTGTTGACACGTATGACACCAGTATGCTAGGCATTTACAAGTATCACTGAATCACAGCAATAATCATGGACCTTCATAGCATTAGGATGCTAGAATTCCAAATGATATTGATCAATAAACAAAAAGAAATCTATACAAATGGCACATCTGCTCCTGCTCACCTTTATGCGTTTAAATTTATGACCACAATTGTCAGATCGGGAGCACGGGATCTTGAAGATCCCTATGGCTGGGGGTGTCACCCGTACACTGCATATGGTAAGGATAGAAATCCTAAAATATTAAGGATCTCAATCCCAACCTTTTGGGGATGCTTGATACCAACCTTTGCGGATATCGAGCCCAACCTTAAATATGTAATTATAGTCTAGGAACTATATACACTCTTGAAAGTAGGGATTTCTTTATTCATAGCCAGCAAGCAACGCACTATATTAAAAATATAGTTGTGTTTTCCTAACTGGCTATAAATAAAGAAAATCATCAGTTTTCTGGTCCCAGCAACCATGTTCATAACCTTTATTGGAGAATGGAGCCTTTAAATTGGGTAGATGTTTCTCCAAATTCGAATATATACTACACAGACAAGGAAACGCAAGCACACATATACACACTCTCTTCCCCTCCCTTTCTATGAAACATTAAGTCATAACAAGAAAAAGAAACCTAAGACAACTTGCTATTTCCTCAATTCACAAGAATTCACATATGCACCGATACTTCTCAAAATGCTATGGCAATTATGGGAGAGACAAGATTGTGTTAAAATGCATGCACACACCTTGGTAACATTTGGATGGTCTAGTTTATGCCAAACAGCAACCTCCTGTCGAAATGATGTTCGAAGTGCAGCAGCTTCAGCCTCAGTAGCAACACCATCTTCTCCCCAGTCCAACAGCTTAACTGAAATAAAGCCAGGAAATAAGGATACAATACAACAGATCAAACTGCAACTAACTAACCATTGCGCTTGTTATGAGCTTAGAAATTCATTTTTCTTTCGACGACTCGGTGATCTTAAAAGCGAGAAAATGCAAATTACTTGGAGCACAAGTACATGGAACTCTCTGCAGGTTAAGCCAAATTCCCAGCTTCATTACTCTGCCTGTTGCTTTCTACTCTGGCTACCCTTTAAACCTTAGAGGTGTATACAAAATGCGAATGAAGGCAAGAATTTATAACCATGCAACTAAGCACTAGCAAGGGCATCAAGTCCCATACTTACCCAAAAAAAAGGGCATCAAGTCACAATAGTCCTTAAAATGTTACAATTGTACCCTTTTCTTGACAAATACAATAGTGCCTGTTTTATTTTACATGTGCAATCACCATCATCATCATCATCATCATCATCATATTCTTATCCCAATTATTTGGGGTCAGCTACGCAAATCCTACTCCACCATTATGCTTTATCAAGGGCCATACACCGAATAAAACTATAAGTGCTTAGGGGGAACGCCCTAGCATAAGCAAATAACATAAATTCAGGATTTATGAAAAGTTAAGGCAAAGTTTTACCCTGGTTGCCCACCTAACACAACCCTCCTCCTTTACTTAGGCTTGGCCCGGCAGGAGGCCAGCCAAGGCGGAGTTTTTAAATGTGCAATCAATATAATAAATAATAAAGTTTTCGAAGCTAGTATCTGAATACCAATATCATCAAAATTTATGCATTTGAAATATTTATAACTATGAGTATGTATAGTTTTATATCTTGGATCGATAATCCATAAGCATGAAAAGATTGAGGAAGATGCCAATAGAGCTTGGTGGATGAAGTGGAGATGTGCTTCTGGCATCTTATGTGAAATGAAATTGAAGGAGAAGTTCTATAAGACAGCTGTGAGACCAGCCATGCTTTATGGGACAGAATGTTGGGCAGTCAAGAAATGGATAAGTGCCAAGACAAGTCCCAAGGAAAGAATGGATAGAATCCAAAATGAATACATTCAAGGGAACTTAGAGGTAACTCCAATAGGTGATAAAATGAGGGAAAGTAGACTTTGGTCTGGCCATGCGCGGCATCAACAACATCAATTAGGAGGGTGATTTGGTTCAAGTAAAAGGCTCTAAAAGGGCAAGGGGAATGCCCAAAAGGACATGGATGGAAGTAGTGAGATGAGATATGGTGACTTATAGTCTGATTGAGGGTATGGCCCTTTATAGAACAGAATGGCGAAACAAGATTCATACAGCCAACCCTAAATAGTTGGGATAAGCTCAGAAGATGATGATGAGTATGTGTACTTCATGGAAAGCACAAAGGGCTTTGTCATCTATACCACTTCAGAACTTTGCTCAGTGAAAGAATCAACATTGCAAAAAAGGACTACACCTGTTAGCATCTCCTCTTATGAAATAAAAAATAATAAGAAACTCATAAGGGTTTCTCTTAGGGGCCCACAAACACTATAGATTTAGGAAGGTCTACGCAAAGAACAAGCAGGCTTGCTGGCCCCAAATAAAATCACTATGATGTAGGCAAGCTCAAAATCAAAGGCTTAATCCCCAAACTTAGATGCATGACTTGCCAGAAATTTGGTTTCTATCTCTTAATTCTAGAGACAGAAAGTTGAGGGAACACAAGCCCATAAAACATGGAAATTTGGAAACTTGCTACATTTTAATGTTTAAGAAAATTTGAGAGAACAAATGAAGACCTGTGAATTTCAAAGAGAAAATCAGGGAAATTGGGTGGGTTAGACAAAGTACTTTTAAATTCACCCAAAAGTCAAAATTTTGCGAAGAAAATTTTAAGGTGTTTTGGGGACATTATGGGGGCATTTTGGCAACTGGAAGCTGGAAATGGAAGTGAGAATTTCTAGCTTTGGGATCTAGATGCTGGACATTTTGATATTTGAAAGTGAAATAAGGAAACCTATGTTTGGTTGAACCTGGGATATTATAAACCTGAAGATCTGGAAATTATCCGCTTAACTGTTCATTGTAATTTCATTGATGAGAGGGTGATATTTGTTAAATGAACGAGATTTCGAAATCATAGCTCATCCTAGGTAGAGCTAACAAAATGGACGGTCTAGATCACATAAAAAAGAAAAGTAATGTGGTTATTTCTCACCACATTAATGTGGTTAAAGTTCAATGTAAAGTGCAATCGATCTACCATCCTATCTTGATCAGACGGCTGGGAACATGTCTAAGTATTTTAATTTTCATCTTTTGTATATACATCATATTGAGCTAAGATTTTGGGCATCTATACTTCTCACCTCCATGCACCAGAAAAAAATATTAAAAATATAAAATAAAATGACCAAAATACCCATGAAACTTTTAGGAGTATTTTGATCATTTCACTTTCTGGATTATTTTTCAGATTTTTTTCAGATGTGTTACAATGAGGTGCACATTTGCAAAATTTCAACTAAATCTTATTTTTATGAAAAACTAACATTAGTCATATGACTTGGGCAAGTTTGAAAAATTCGGAAATGAGAAGTGCACACTTCTCCAAAACTAAGAAGTTTGCACTTCCATTGGCTGGGGCTTAGAAGTCCAAACTACTCATCTGTTGAGAAATTTGGACTAAAAGTAAATGAGAAGTCCTCGTTACCAAACCCCGAACTTCTATAATGCCCTGAAAATTTCGGAATGTTCACGGTAGCCAAAAACCCCCTTTTAAGGTGACAAATAATCATTAAGTCACCAAGACCCTTTAAAAATAAATTTACATAACAAATGTTTCAAGAGAGTTTGAGAAATTTAGGGCGAATAAATAACCCCATGAAACCAAAAGTATTGCAAGGGTTGGGAGAGACACCCCTTCCTGAAATCAAAAGCTTTTGAATAAGAAAATTGAGGACTTTAAAAGCTGAGACAATCGGTAGCACCAAAAATCCCATGGTAGGTGAACTCTAGTGAGAGTAAATTGTTACCAAAACCCTCAAGATTCAAAGCCCTTAAAAAAATTTCTCATATCCGAGGTAAACAAAATTTGTCCAACTTTTCCTTTTCTCTAACCAGATTGGATAATTTTTTTATGGGTTTGGATAAGCTATTTTTATTTGATAAATTGACTGCTTGCATTCATAAATGGGCAAAAATGTATAAATTGGGAGTTGTTAAAATCTACATGTTTGATAGTGAGGTTATGGTAGGGTTTTTCTTAATTTTTTAGAATTTTCATTGGGTTTTGTCTAGTATAATCTATTGCTTCATATGGTTCGTAATCCACCCCATTTTAATTTCTTCACATGCTTCTTGTCCTAGTCTTCCTCTTTAAATTGTCTCCAGTTGGTAATTTTGCTTGATTTTGGACAGGAAATTACAAATGCTTTCTTGGACTCGGCTAGAATTTTGCATGTCATGCAGAGTTTTGGTTACAATTTTGCATTATTTCGCTCTAATTTGTGTACAAAATTTGACAAGTTGTGTATTCTAGTTTGCCATATTCCAGGCCAAAGAAAACTCTGTTCATGGACTGTAAATTGATCCGTTCATGGACTATAAATTGATCCATTTTATCAAAGTTAGCTGAACATCAGAACATCGCACTATGTTCTTGGCGTAACCCAATTGGACTGAAAATTTTTGATTTGTGGGTTTTGCGCACACCCATACATACACAAACAGAGTTCAGACTCATGAGCCACTTCAGCCTTAGAGAGAGGAAGAGGGCCCAGAGATGTAGCAGGCAGAGAGAAGCGGGAGCAACCCAAATTTTATGGTTGGGAACTTAAGGGGAATTTCGAACCAAAAAGAGGGTCGTTATGTAAAAATAGATCTATTTTGCTTGAAATTGGATGGCGGGTGTGGGATGTAGAACTTTTGAAAAAGTTTGGGGCTATCTATAGGACTTTTGGGGAAGAGTGTGCTATGTAAATTCCTAATTGAACTTTTATGTAGGACTGCCAGTCATGTGATTCAAGGCACCGAGAAAAATCCAGGGGGCCGAGAAGGAATCAAGATAGAACTTCATTTTATTGAAGGCAGCATCTAAGTATGTTGATCTGCCATGGAAGAAGCCATGGCAACAGAACCTTCAGAGTTCCCCTTCTTCCATTGTAGAAGTTTCAGAATTCTGTTAAATTATATTCTGTTTTGAGGTCTACCGTTGCAGTTGATAGTGCCAATATGCTATCCCACAATTCCTTGAAAAAATTATATACCATTCTTCTCTTCCTCGCCTTGTACCCAAGAGGCTTGGGCCATGGATGTCCACAAACACTCTAAACTATAAAGAGCTCACCTCAAATACCATTATCTATAGCTAATACAGAGAAGTCAAAAAACCATAGAACAAGATGAATGAAGTAGCAAGATGAGAAAGCAACAGGATCTTGGCAAATATTCAATCTATGCTTCTGAACTCCTAGGATTCACTAAATGACTATTAAATAAGTATGACTGTTCCACAAAAAATCTCCAGCCAAAAGAGGCAGTATAGCCCCAAAATTAGGCAGCTTGTCCACATCATTATTGGCTTATATTGAAAGTGTCAAATACTTAAATAATACCTTAAAAAGATATCCAAATAGAGGATTCCATTTCAACTTGGGGGTTCCACCTTCAATACAAGACCCCATCCCCAATGTCCTAAGAAGATTTATTAATAGCTAGCTCTCATCCTGCAATGGTCCCCTCTCAATCCCATTTTCCACATCGCCACCCAAGAACCCCCAGAATATAGGAAGCTTCCCCCCTACCTCCCCCACTCTCTTAAGCATATTCCCCTGTAACACCCACCATCTAAAAATAAATCCCTATTCTTGTTTCCTATCCAATGCAATTCACATAAGGCTTGGAACCTACTACCCTAGGAATTTAAATGTCATGCATGTCAATGAATAATTCTCCCATTTTCAGTGGTAATTTCAAGTTCCTAATTTCAAGTTCCACATCACCTACATGATATACATACATGCATACATATATATTTTATATATATATATATATATATAGGAAACACACTGCAAGTATTTCAGGGAATAGTGCACAGCCAGAGGTATAAAGCAATTCATCTAAATTACCAAGTTTTGAGTCAGTGATTCACAGTTACCTCACTCTGAACTAAATCCAAATTTCTTGGTTTCTTTTACATCAGATAATATAGAATTCAAGAGGCTTTAGTCCTACAGGATTTAATTATTCTGCACATAATTATGGCTGAATAACAAACAATGTAGACCTGTATAAGGTTTTCTAGCATATATTGTCTTTGATCCAAAACAGAGAATTTCCCAAATCACATGTCACCATGTTTTAAAGATTTACTATTAACTCTTTCCTTCTTGAATCTAATATTTTTCCTTGATCAACCAGAATAGTGCAAAGCTTCTTCTCCATGATTCATGTTTATTCAACAGTTCAAGTATTCCAAAATAAAGAAATAAAAACTATTGTTAATCAAGAGCAAAACGAAGTCTAGGAACAATTAGGAATATTTCTCCTCTATAAAAACATCAGATAATTAACCACCTAATGAACTCCGTCTACAATGTCAAATGCACATTTTGTAATCTCAAAAAGTTTTGAAATAACAAACTCTCACTTGGTAAAAAGAATATAAAAAGCCATATTGCAACATAAAGAACTGCAAAAAGAGTAGAGGCAGAAAGATCAGCAGTTATTAAATCGCTGTCAGTTAATACTTGATGCAAAGACACAAATATTATTGCAAAGTATAGCAAAAAAGATTCTAGGCAGGAGCCTACCTGCCACGTCTTGCCCATCATAAACACCTTTATACACCGTACCATAAGTCCCATGCGCAATGACGTGCCTTATATCAAGTTTCGACAAATCAATTTCCCATTGTTCCTTTGGCCTCACAGCCTCCTTCCCCCTAGACCAAACCCGGCCAAGATGCTTCTCCAACTGATAATCCAATGTCTTCAAATCAATTTTATCCGCTCTGAAAAAAAGATCCTTACTGTTCAAACTTCCACTACTGCTCATTTTTGCTTTTGAAGTAATCCCCCCAAGGTCAATAGACACAGATTTCTCTCTTTTTCCAACATCCACATTTTCCTCATCAACCTGTTTAGAAGAATGTCCTTCCATATTTTCAGTTCCAAGTCAGAACCTGCAACACTGGAATTCTTGAAATACCTTCAATTTCAAAAACCCAGATCAAACAGGCATTAACCTCAAGTCAAAATCACTGTTTGTCAATGATATGTTCAACTCAAACAAGGAACGTACCAAAAACAAAATGAATACCGATTTAAACAAAAAAGTTTATGAATGTATAATAATTTTCTAGCTAAATTCCTTGTACAGCCTCAGAAAACCCTTGACAAGAAGCAGAAAAGAAAATGGAAAAGGAAATCCTACAAACCCAATTCAATTCCTGATAAAAAAAGAAAAAAAAGTGAATAATAACCTTTAGATGCCAGTAATATCCGAATAACTTTACAAGCAAATGGGAATTCAACAATATCAGCAAACAGAGAGAAATGAAAAAAAAGAAATAAATCCTATTCCTCAATGGCTTAAACCAATATATATATCGCCCAACCAATTCAAAATTCTTCCTATAAAAAAACCCACAAAACAAGGAAATATATAAAAAACCCACAAAACAAGGAAATGAACAAAGAAATAAGAGGCAAGAGGAAATGGAAAGCTACCTAGTATTCCCTAAAACAGCACTACATTAAACGCCTCATTCCACGAAAAAGTCCAATAAGAAAAGTAATTCTCGGAACGAAACTCAACACCAGATTCCACTTCCGTAACGGCCGCCATATAAGACAGGACACCAAACAAAAATTCACAGCGAGAAGATGAGAAAAAAGCTTTGCTCAAATTCAAAGGAGAAAGAAACCCTAGAATAAATGTCTGGTCAGTTGACCTACCAATACAAAAATAGGAAAACCTAACCCTAGCAACGGTGGCATTTCGCCGTTGAAGACCTGAGTTAGAAACGTCAGAGCTCCGGGTCGTCTCGAGCGGACGACGTCACTGTGACGTCACAGAGGCAGAAGGAAAGTCGTGGATGGAATTTAAAGGGGATTCGCGGAAAAAAATGAATACCAGACTAAGCAAACCCTAGGATCAAGTGGAGTGGTAAATGACAAAATTGCTCCTTGACTTGATTTTTAATGACTTTTAGAAAATCTTTCCTAAATCCCATTACATTTAAAGTCAACTTAGCAAAAAAAAAGAAAAAAAAGAGAGGAAAGAAAAAGGAAATTCCTGTCATAGTAGTAACATTTGAAGTCAAATTAGCAAAACACACACATACAAAAAAAAATAAAAATAAAAAAAAAAAAGGGCAAAAAGGAAACTTAGTCAAAACTTATGATGTCTTAATGGAATTGATGACATAAGGAGCTAACAATTTTGAGTTGAAAAATATCAACAAAGATTTGTAGGCTCTAGGCTCTATTCCGTCTACTAACGTTTCCAAAGAAAAAAAGGCAGTTGTAAATGGATTGGAAGATGAAAGAAAAGGGTGAATGAATGAGATTTAGTACATTTATGTGACAACACTCTTTGGAGTGGTCCATAAATGGTCCAGACACTTTATGATATGATTATTTTGGAGTTTGTTAATCAATTTGAAATGAACTAATGGAGATCTCACTTTCTTGTCCAAATGAATTCCATTCTCAAATTTCATCGGGTATAAAATGTTCTCTTCTTTATATACCTCCACAACCGATCAATGTCATTTTGTATATGTAAGGGTACTATAGTCATTTTCCCTAGAAACATAAAAAACGAACTTAGATTCAGCATCGACCGTTTGCGCGTTGGAAGGGCCGCGGCTCGCGGGAAACCATTTAAACTCACACAAGAGCCAGCAAGAAATTAGCGAATAAAATATTATTAAATGAATATATGTATTCTTTAACACACAAGAAATCAGTGATTTAAGATGACTTCGGATTTTCCTATGATCTGTGATAAGTTTAAGGAACAAACTAGAAAATCGAATTTTTTTTAGGAAAATTTTGGCATGATCCTATCCGTTCATTTGATCCTAAACGCATAAAAGATTAGATGGAATAATGTTCACATATAAAATAATATGGTTACTTTAGGCAATTTTAATTTTTTAATGAAAAATAGTTTGATAGGGTGGCAGCTGTATCAAAATAAGTAAAGCCTCAACTCATAACTCATTGAAAATTGCAATTCAAGTATTCAAAAACCTTCACATTGATCATCTCGGCCTGAACATTATAGTTGTGAAAAAAATAACGAAATCAAGCTCTAAAAATAGTGTATATTGTAATAAATTATCTAGACTGTCCATTGCGCCTGAAAATAAGTGTTCATTGATCCGTAAGATCTGTACTTTATTTTGAGTTTCAAAATTTATTGTCGGTGTTGAAAATTGATTTTAGAGCAATTATAAAGATTTTTGTTGCCGCAAGTGCCTTCAGAATGAGGATTTGATATGAAGTTTTATTTTATTTTCATAAAGCTTAAGCCTTATCGAAACGTCATCCTTTCTTTAGTTGGCATGAGTAAACTTGAACAATCTAGAAATGTTTCACAGTATAAATTACTAGAGTTTTTTATCCAAGAAAAATGTATAATAAAATATTGATTACTTTAATGACTTATGCCAAGAATATCCATGATAGTGTATCCTGGAGTGATGATACTTCTATACTTTATCAAGTAATGCATTACTTTAGAGTATATTATATTCTCATGTTGTCATAATATGCTGTTTTTAGTTCTCGTATTATATTCTGTACTTCATATATAGTTTTTGTAAAGAACATTTTTACAAAAGCATTTCGGGTTTTCCTAAAAGCAGCTGTCATGTGATTCTATACACCAACAATTGCTGAAACCATTTGTCAAAAAAAAAAACAATTGCTGAAACCAAACTCAAATAACTGTCTACATATGACATTGAGAAAATAGGGAAATTTCATAAGTTATTGAGAAAATAAGCAAATTTCATATGTTATTAAGAACATAGAGAAAAAAATTAATTGAATAAAGGAAAATTTATATATAAAATATTTAACATTCTACTCGTAGATTTTGATTGAATGTCAAAAACCCCATGGAAAGACGTACGATCATGAGTCGTTATATTTGCAAATGGGTAATGTTGAATAGCTCATCTCTAAATCTACAAAAATATCAATTTTCAGAATAAGAAAATAATCTCAATAATAATGTATTTTTTGTCGAGGTCATTTTTATGCCATATTTTTCTAAATACCCTGGCCCATCACTGGAAGTACCGGATCGGCTTTTTAGTACTTCAATACCTCATCAATTTCTCAAAAATAAAATTTGGTCAGGCACTCGAAGTTTTGGACCTAAACATAGACTATGAAATCCGCACTTCAAGATGAAAGATTTTGCCCCAAAAAATCTCATTAAAATTATAACCTGGACATTAAATTCGTAAATATTGGAATCATTTTCAATCCTAGAGAAGAATTTTTACATTAATCACCAAAGTATGTAGTATAAGATCCAATTTTAAATATACTTCGATATGCCTCTTACATCATGCGAATGGGGACGCCAACGAGCCAGGCCAGCCTTGGACCTAGCCGGACCATAGTCTCTACTTACCTGGCCTGAACCCTGCCTTAATTGAGGGGCAGCACGTGTCTGCCTTAATTGAGGGACAGCACGTGTCTTGTGAGGATTGGGCCGGGCCAAACACAATACAAGATAAAAAAAGAGAAAAAGAATAAGAAAAAGGAAAAAAGTTATACAAGGGCGAGGCTCTAAACAATCCAATTAAGGCGCACCTTAAAAATACACTAGAAGAGGGATTTTCAATGCCCAAAAATCCTCAAATTGATCATCTCAACCTCAAGATGGACGGACATGAAAAAAAAATGGATTTCAACTATTAAAAATAGTTCATCTTGTAATGTGTTTTTGAACAGTCAATATTCAAGATTTCCGAGTGCTCATAAATATGCTCAATCCATATTATTTTTTAAGCTTTAAAGTTTATAACACATTGTTTGAAGGTATGCTTTACTTTGATGGTTTAGGGCATCATCCTTGTACAAACCACACCTTAAGAAAAAAAAAGGTAGGGGCAGGCCAAATTAGGCCGGCCCTAAGTCGGTCCTGGCCCTTGAGCCAAATATTATGGCCTAGGCCCTAGTTTTTTAGGGTCGGACCGACCTGGCTGGGCCCGCCGCCTCTCCCAACCCTAACCACGACGCAATCCATATTCATGTATTAGACTATGACTTTTTTTATTTTTTTAAACTTTAGACTGAAAATGTCCTAAACCCATTCCTGGAATAAAAATAAACGTAACGAAGTGAAGGCCAACAGGAGACTTTGAAAATATCACCGTCTAGAAATTTTTTAATTGCAGTATAAGCCTGCAAGAACCACAATATCATTTTAAAGAAAGTAAAAACAAAGATGGCCTTCTTCTTTCCAAAATTCAGCCAATGTAACATGTTCACAAATCAGCCAAAAGTGGAAAATCATTCCATAAATGACAAAAATACGGCCAAGACCGAGCCGCCCCCTGCCAGACTTGGAAAAACCGCATTCACTGTCGGCCATATTTCAAATTTCAAACCCTCCCAATGCCTTCTCATTTTGCAACAATCAAAGTAGGGTGCACTTTCGAATAGCCTCATTTCAATATCAAAAATCTCTATGATGAACACTTCAAAATTGAGATAATACAATATGCACTATTTATACAACTTGAAATTTATTTTTCCTCTTAAGTTCAAGATGATTAGATTGTGAGTTTCCCAGCTTGCTATTGAATTTTTGAGGTGTGCCATAATTTGATTGTTAGGGCCTTACCCTTATATAATTTTTTTTTAAATTAAAACATATAAAAGAGAGAGAGAGAGAGATATTTCAAGGATGAATTTAACATCCTAGATTTAACGAGGAGGGATTGAGATGAATATCGCAACTTCAAGATCATATTATCAAGAGATGACGACCTTAGCCTGTCATACTAGTCGAACCGTCAACCAATGTTTTGGCTAGTCTCAAAAGTTATATTTTATTTTAAAACAGACTAAATATTATGTTTGACCAAATATTAGTCTTAGTATGATTAGTGACCGGTTAGGTTAGTCAAGTGATGTTGGGCAAATATTTTTTTTTAATACATTTTATATTTTTAGACTATTTTTTATTTTATTTTTCTCTTATCTAAAAATCATGTCTAATCAATTCAACTAACAATCAAACATATTTTGACCAGGACAAACCCCTACTAATTTAAGGATCGGTGGGTTCTGATAAAACTAGTAACAATCATTCCCAATGATGCAAAATGAGCAAAGAAAAGAAAAAACTAGAAAAATTTTACAAGTTTCATTGGTATGTGATGAACACATAATACTCCAGTTGCACATCTCCACTTTGCCACCCGACTCTAATTATACACGCGGCATCATTCTCAATCTCTCTTTTTACTGGATTATCGACCCAATATATCTAAAGCGCCATCTTTTTGGTATTTATTGCCCTTCAATTTGAATTACTTATTCGTCTTTACTCCTATTATTACGAAACTTGCATTTCGTATACTCTATCTTAATCCGGCGAATTTTCAAACTTTTAGATTCTAGAGCATCCTTATAAAGTTTTAATTTTGTATCTGCTTTGGTCTCATCAATCAAAACTATGTCGTTCACGAACAATATATACAATAGTACTTCGTCTTATAGGTGCCTAGTTAAGTCATTCATAACTATGACAAAGAGGAATCGGCTTGCTAACCCCTGATATATACTTATTGTCACTAAAAACTCACTTGTCTCTCCATTAGTGGTTTGCATACTACTTCGCGCTTCCTCATACATATTTCTCACCAAGTTCATATAGTACTTGGAGACTTATTTCTTTTCCAACGCCCACCAAAATAAATCTCAAGATAAGCTATTATTAACTTTCTCTTGATCACTAAAGACCGTGTGGAATGTTTTTTCTTTTTGCCCTAAACTTTTGAATCGCCTAAGTAGGAAAATAGCTTCAATTGTTGACCTCCCCGACATAAAACCAATTTGATTTTCTGATACATTTGTTTCATGCTTTAGTCATTGCTCAATCACTCTCTCCTACAGTTTTATAGTGTGGCTCGTTAGTTTGATCCCTCGATAGTTCACATAATTTTGTATGCCTCGTTTATTCTTATAAATAGGTACCATAATATGTTTCCTCTATTCGAATGGTATTTTCTGTGTTTACAATATCTTATTGTACAGCTTGGTATGCCGGTCAATGCCCATCTCCCCATGCACTTCCAAACCTCTGTTGAGATACCATCTAATCTTAAAACATTTCCTATCTTTATCTTCTTTAAAGCTTGTTTCACTTCCGATATCCTATCCTACAATTGTATCTATTAGTTCCACCCTCATTTATGCCATGAGTCTTTTTACTGTTGTGTTCCTATTGTGTTCGTCATTTACTAATTTTAAAAAATGAGTTCTACATCTTTCATTGACCTCTTCATCCTTTACTAAAACCCTTTGATCATCACTCTTAATACATTAATATCGTCTAGATCCCTACACTTTTTCTCTCTCATTTTTGCTAAATTGAAAATATCTTTTTAACCTTTTCTTGTTCTCAATTTACTATTTGGACTATCATATGCCTTTAAGTTTGGTTTTTTCTATTTGTTTAGTATTTTTCTTCAAATTTTTAAACTCTTCTAAGTTTTAATCATTTCTATTATATAGTCTAGTTTTATAACACGATAGTTTTTCACTGGTGACCTTCTTAACCTCATTACTCAACCAAGTTTCTTTATCGAAATTTCTTTAACTGCACCATATATACTATTCCTAAATTATCAAAAGAGCCTAAGCAACCGAATTATGAGAGAGAGAGAGAACATACACAACCGCATGATCTGGAGACTAGAGTTACATGGCTAAAGGGAATGACACCAAGCATTGAATCTTTAGGTTTGACCTATAACACACTAGGCGCGTGATGAGTCATACTTTTATCACATGAAACCGAGCATATTGACCATTTGCTAAGGAATGATAATGAGGGGCATTCCTTAACATTATGCTCAACATTATCCTTCATGCAAATTGCCATGCCACTTGCGTGCAGACTGTGGTCTCCTTAATCTCTGAAACTCCCATATGCATAATATCTCTCTCTCTCTCTCTCAGACACACGTAGGAGAACCGGGAAGAAGACCCAAGCATTTCGAGCTTGTTAATGGAAGCCCAACAGCTCAAAAGCTCTCTCTCTCTCTCTCTCTGCCACTTAACAGAAGAAAAAAATGAGAATGCTGCAGATTGACTCCACATGCATCATGCTCTCCTTTCTGTGTTTGTTTTGAGTTCAGCATTTTGTTCATCCTCAAAAACTCCAAGAAACCTATCCAACCCACTTATCTAGCCTACATCTTGTAAGCCAACCACAACTGCAATGCTCATAAAATTCCCATCAGGAGACTCAGCCATGAACATGTTATAAAGTCAAAAAGAATTTCCTCGAATTTGAAGAGAATAAAAAGTAAGAACTCACAGTAAATGAATATATGAGGAAATATTAAATGAAGAAGAGCACCAAATAGCACAATGGATTTGAAGACAGCAATACAATTCTTTCTTTTTCATAATTCAGTTCTAGAGTTTATCGACCTGAAAGAAAAATCTGAATCAAATTGGAACTTAGACGCAGCTGATGCATTGAATGGCTTCGATTCAACATTTCACGAAGATCCAAAGGACAGAAGGAATTATTTGTCCTGGTGCCAAGCAATGCTATCCATCAGAATAAGTGAATGTAAAATGCTCTCTCTCACACACACACACACATGCAACAAATGTTCTTATAAATTTGTTAACCCACATCAAGCATCTTACGATACCAAGTGTTGTGAAATGTTAAGTTGATCATAAAAAGACAGCACCACATTGATCAAGACATTAGATCAACATAAATGAATTGGTGGTACATCTCTCTCTCTCTCTCTCTCTCTCTCTCTCTCTCTCACACACACACACACACACTACGTTACGTACGTACGTACGTACGTAGTGAGACGAGTACGTAACTACTACTACTACGTACGTACTCTCTCTCTCTCTCTCTCTCTCTCTCTCTCTCTCTCTCTCTCTCTCTCTCTCTCTCTCTCTCGTACGTTTGTCGACCTTACATGGAAGAAGAGCTAAATACAAATCGCCTTCTTAACATGTACTATCACATTGCATTCCACATTCCGCGAAGAACTGGGATATTTACCTCGATTCTAAACAGAATAGTAGTGTCGAAAACCTGCTGACCTGCACCCACTTGAAGCCCACGTACATAGCCAGCACAAGGCGCCCTGACTACATGCTGGGGAGCAAAAAAAAAAAATCTATCCTATCAAAACCAGTGGCATACCAAAACATGAAGAGAACTAAAAAATAAGCTTAGCATGAGAGAACATGTGCGTGTGTGTGTGCGTGTGTGTGAGAGAGAAAGAGCATGTTCATGCCTCCATCTTCATGGCCTCCATGACTAGAACAGGTTGGCCTTGCTCAGAACTAAAAAGTAAGCTTAGCATGAGAGAACATGTGCGTGTGTGTGTGTGTGCGTGTGTGTGAGAGAGAAAGAGAGCATGTTCATGCCTCCATCTTCATGGCCTCCATGACTAGAACAGGTTGGCCGTGCTCAACCCTTGAACCATCACTCACAAGAACTTTAACAACTAAACCAGCCATCGGTGCTACAACAGTCCCTTGAGGAACTGTGTGTGACTTGTCAAAACTTTGTTTATGTTGAGATCCTTCTTCAATAGACTGAACAGATCGCACGGACTGCATAAAATGGTGGTGTTGCTGGTTATGCCAGATATGCATGTGCTTGGAACCATCCTGGTCAGAATGAAAATAAAAACAATGTCACATGTGGTCCTGAAATAAAAGGAACAGAATTTATGAATTACACACATTTGAAAAAATAAGCAGCGTTTATATTTGCTAGTAGAACAAGAAAAATATAAAGTCGGCTGCATCATATATTATTCAACTGGAGCATTTGGATACAACTTTCAGCTAAAGAACACAATCAGTCAAAGATCTCCATATGAAACTCACAAATTCATGAACACGAGAGAGAAAGAGAGAGAGAGAGAGAGAGAGAGAGAGAGAGAGAGAGAGAGGAGCTTTCAAATATCAACAATGTATATAGTATGCATGCTCTTTCAATCTATCCCATCCATCTAGATAACGAAAGCATAGACCCAAAATGTAATTAAGATTCAAAAGTTGAGCATTTGGAAGACACTTCAATCCAGGATAAAAACAAGCAAGTCTTCATTCTACAGTTCAAAAACCCCCCAATCACTGCTCTGATACCGACAAACAATTTATGGCTCCTAACAGAATGACTTTTAATTACTTCAGAGCTCAGACGACTAGTTTGCAAACCCCTCAGTCACTACTCTGATGCCGAGTAACAATTTATGGTTTCCAATAGAATGACTTCACATTACTTCAGACCACTAGGTCATTGACTTAAAACTTATAAAAAACCAAAAGAACCGAAAATACCCTCAAGATACAAATAAGAATATAGAAAAGCTGCTATATCGAGCACCATCCATGCTTTTCATAAATAAACAATCAATACATTTATGAGATGTGAAAAACAACATATTACATGGTGTCTTAAGGAAGCAATGTACATGTGTCATCCTTTAGGATTCCAAGATGTCAAGACTCTTAACCATGATTGGACGACAGAAAAGTACCATATATGGACTGAAATTGGCAACCAATATTTGTTGATCAAAGGCTTGCTTTTCTATAAGACATTACCCTGTTTTGACACGCTAATTGTCATATCAAAGAATGGCCGCACTTACCTTTATGGGCAATCCTGAAAAACTGTTTTTCTTTCTTTTTTTTTCTTTTTTGTTTCCCCCTTGCATATAGTGGAAAAAAAACAGGTTTTTTATTCTTTCTATTCTAGGGCATTGCCATGGAATTTCGAAGATAAGTGAGATAGCAAAGAATAGGCTTCCCCGTGAATAGTGGCAAACCAAGCTCGGAATATTTGTCACTCTTAGACAGGAGGAAAAGAAAGTACTATTTTTAAAATTGTATGCATCCAAAGGGGGTCTTAGTGAAGGATGAATACAATTTAAAATGGACTATGCCATCTTTCAAAAGGAATAATCCAAAATCACTTAGGGAAGCCCACAATATATGATGAGCCCATTTTTCCAGGATCAACCTTCATAGCTAGAGGAACTTCTGGCTTCTATTGATAACACCGCTGGTGTATCCTCGCATGTACCAGTTCTATGAAGAAGCCAAAAGCAAAAGAATAAATACATGAAGCCCATATGAAAGGCTTCCTTGAAATTTAAATTAACTGTACTTTGTGACAGAAAAGAATTTCACCTTGGAATACAATGCCAAACTAACACTGGTGCTCAACCCGTCAAGACTAACTCTGAAGTCGAGATGTCCTAAATGCAAGACGCTTACTTTCACTCCAGGTGATTTATTATCACTATCTTCAGTCTGCACACAGAGCAAACAATAGAATTAGCCAAGGAAATATGAGTTCTTTCTTTTATTAGCTGAAATATAGCAGAAATTTACAAAAGAAACAAAATCAACTACACAAAAAGGACCACAGCCAAAATCAGCAAAGATCACATGGAAGACACCAGTAGTCGACAAAAACAAATAAAACAGTTAGTCAATAATAACAGAGAAAGGCTTCATATTAAAAAAGCTGCTCCTCTGCAATGAATGAAAATTTTATCATGAAACATAGAAATCTAAAACATAGATAACCAGACCACTTAACAATCTTTTTCCCAGTTCAACTAGCAACATTGCAAGAAAAGTTAATGACATTTTATGGCATCGAAATCCAATACCTTAACACAATAGTTGCCATCAGTCTCATAAGTAACAACAAGTTTCAAATGCTTTGGACCTAAATCAGTGATTTCACTCTGCCACTCAAGTTCCATTGCACGTCTTGGAGAGTGATTCACTCTAAAAGGTGGATAAGCATACCATAAATGAAGTAATTTGTCCTTACCTGTTAGAAAAACTATGATCATCATTAGTGCTGTGTACAGACATAGGCACAACCACACCTATTATGAAGGCGGAGCTCATACAATCAAAATTCTCAGGATATTCTAAAACAATGGTTACATGCCAAAAAACCTGCAATAAGAAACCATAAGAAAAATTGTAAAATAGAGCCACAATACCATCATAAGCTTCCTTTGATTTGATCTGTTCCATTTTGCAAATACAGGCAGCGACCAAGGTTGCCCCAAGTTTAGCAGCTTGGTAAGCCTCCTCCTCTACTAAAGCACTTGCATCAAGAAGTAGATCGCCCTTGAAATGCTCAATAAAATGTGTTTCTACTTGGCCCTTTTCAAAAGCCTCATGACTAGATAGTCTCTGTAGGAAGTTTATATTTGTTGGTACACCAGCTACCTGCAATATGAGATTTTACAACTGACTTATCATGATTACAACCACAACGCGATATATATATGATACACTTGAAAAAAACATGCAAACAGTGAGCTTACTACAAAATAAGTCTATAAATTCTTTATTCACCCAAAAAAAAAAAAGTTTATGAATTCTTAAGACTAAAAATGCCAACATAACAGAATAACCTGGAAGTCTGAGAGGCAGTCCCTCAATTTGACTAGTGCTGCATTTCGAGTCTGCCCCCAAACTACAAGTTTGGCTATCATTGGATCATAGTGCACACTGACACTGTCTCCTACTTCGACACCAGTCTCAACTCGAACTACCAAAACATTCATTCAGATAAGAAACCAAATAATCTGTAAAGAAAATTGAATCAGGATATTTAAGAAGTCATGTTGGTTTGTGCATCTCACCCGTTGGCGAACAAGGGAAGGGATTGTAATGATGGAGGAATCCAGCAGCTGGAAGGAATCCTTTAGGAACATTCTCAGCATATATGCGTGCTTCAAAGGCATGACCTTTCATCACAACCAAGCTATAGATAAGCAATGGAAAAGTTCTCCCATTTCAATTTATCACTGCCCAGACATGGAACTTAAAAAGTAGATCAGAAAATACACAAGGCCAAAAACTATGAAGAGCATTAACCATGAATGAAAAGCCACCATTGGAAATACCAGTTTCGTGAAGTAATCTAAGACAAATTATAATAAAGTAGCCTCAAAGCAATCAAGAAAATTCCAAATACCAACTTATGAACCAGATCAAGGTAAAAACAAAGCAAATAAATAACCAACAAGTCAGACTGGATCAATAAACTAGAAGACAATGCCATTTGGAAAAAGAATCAAGATAGTTTTTGAGAATGTACAAGAATTACATGAACAAATTAGAAACCCTTATAGTGGGATCTTAAAAGGAAGTGACTGAAGAGTCAATCTGAGCAAGAATGAATCAACTTGCCATTTAAGGGCACCTCTGATTGAATCAAAGGCAGGGGTTCTCCATTCGCAACACGAATCTGCCACTCCACGAGATCTTGACCAACAATCATTTCAGTGACAGGATGTTCAACCTGTAGAATGTTACCACCAGATCTCTAAGCTTTGAGCAACCACTACTGACTAGATCTTTTGCAAAACATAACTCATAAAACTAAAGATAAGAGAAACTAGAGAATGTAGATCCTAAATGCTGCACCGGGGGGAAACCACTCATTTTGGTAGTGGTACAAGCACACACATTAGAAAAAAGCAATATCCTTCATAACAGAACATTAGCAACTTGAAAGAAAAAGAATTGCAAATGCAAGAATAGAAGCAATCATAACCTGTAGACGGGTGTTCATCTCCATGAAATAAAACTGATCGGTTAGTGTATCCACTATGAATTCCACAGTCCCGGCATTATAATAATTTACTGCCTTTTCAAAAGGACAATGTCAAACAGCAGCAATCAAATCAGAAAACCTCCCACTAGACAGAGAGAGCTAAATCATAGCAGAAATCCAAATAAGGCAATATTCTAATGAACTTTTTAAAAGGAAATCCTAAAAGCTAATCACTGATAAATAGTTATAACAAAGAAGCATATAAAGCACCGTAAAATGTGGTGTAAACAGAATATGCTGGCTCATAACAAACATTCATTTACATACACTGAAGGCATGGTTCAGTTAGCATAGGTGTGAAGCAGAGTTCACTCTTCTTTGCATCCATTGCGTAGGTTAATGGAGAAGAAGACGAATGAATGACCTTTTCAATTTTTTGATTGAAAATATTTGAAACCAAAATTATGGTTAACCAATTAAAGAAAAACAAATCATGTGTGATTAACCACTTAAAGCAGACGGCAAAAAATAATGTAATTGGAATGAACACCATATATGATAACCCTGGGATTTATTTGACAGCTACATAAAACATGGTAATCAAAGGAAAATCAGAAAAGACATTCAGATGCGCATCACCTTGGCTGCAGATACAGCAGCTTCACCCAATTCGGAACGAAATTTATCAGTAATATTTGGCTGCATTCAAGAAGTAGACATAATTATCATATAATGGCAAAAAAGCAAGCCACAATTAACAGTATGAAAATGTAAAAAACTAAGAATTACTGCAGGAGCCTCCTCGATTATCTTCTGGTGCCTTCGCTGAACACTGCAGTCCCTTTCATTCAAATGTATGACACTACCAAGTTTGTCTCCAAAGACCTGAAAATGCACTCAAAATATGCATATTAATCATAATGGTCCATATTCAATGGGTGGAAAGACAACCTTTCAAAATAGATCTTTAAGAGCACCAATGCAACAAAAGAGAAAAAAAAATCTTGTGTATAAAAGGGCCCCTCTCATACTGCACAAGACAGAAGAGGTTAAGCAATCAGAAGAACTATACCTGGACTTCTATATGCCGTGGTCGAGAAATGTATTTCTCCACTAGAACAGTGTTTACACCAAATGAAGCAGCTGCCTCACGTTGAGCTCCCAATAGAGACTCGATAAATTCATCTTCACTTTGAACTATTCGCATACCCTGTAGGTGACATTTGCATCAGAAAGCAAATTTGAGAAAGATTCCACCAAAAGAACTAGCTATAAAAGAGAGAAAAAAAGAATCCACAACAAAAGTATGCAGTCTGTCTTCTTCAGCTCAAATCCAGATGGCGTAGTAAAAGCTACCCAACATAAAAAAAGAGTGACTAACTTCCCATAACACTTCTCAGAAACATAAAACAGGTATAACAGGCCAATTTCAGAAACAAATCCATCCAGATTCCAAAAACGTGGATAGCAACACAATCAGACCAGTCAATAAGATCGCTTAAGGACCAATTCACCAACGGTTATCCAAGAAGTGTTAAGAAATTGGGTCGAAATGCCAACAAGCGAGACTTCTACAGTAAATTTTTGCTTTATAAGCAGACTGATTTAGATTTATTGGAAATTAAAATTAATATTTTGCAGGGGAAAGGATAACTGCCAAAAATTCTTAATGGGAATGTAACAGATCATAAATGCACACCTTTCCTCCCCCACCATGGGTGGGCTTTATCATGACAGGATATCCAATCTTATCAGCTTCTGCTTTTAGAAGATCAACTTCTTGTTGATCACCATGATAACCAGGCACAAGTGGTACCCCAGCTGCACCCATTATCCTCTTTGATGCACTAGAAGACATGTGACAGACCAACTGGGTAAACAAAGTGCACTAGGAAACATGAGAGCAAAATTAAAAAATAAAAAAGTTCGAGATATAAAACTGCCAATACAAAGAGCTAGTTCTGCATGCTTGTCAAGGCTATGAATGTTAACCTTTGGCGAAATACAAGAATTAGATAAGAAACAACTTGCATCAAAAGTAAAGTGAAACTTAGCAGATGAATTATTTGGCAGAAATAAAATAAAATAAACAGACATAAGCATGGGTAAAAATGGGTGGCAAAATGGGAGGAATGAAAATAGAAAGAAGGTAGAAGATGTACCTTTTATCACCCATGTCTCGAATTGCAGAAGCTGGTGGGCCAATGAATATTAGACCAGCATTTTCACAAAGTTCAGCAAACTCGGCACTTTCAGATAAAAATCCATAGCCAGGGTGAATAGCCTGCATCGCATTTGGAAACGAGGTCACCTTATATAAACACGTTTTATGGATTACATTTCAAACCTACCAACCCACCATTTTTGTAATACCCTAATGGCTGTCACACCACTAGGATAAACGATCTAAATGTGAAAACCATGCCAAGAGAACAAATTTATTAGGTTAGAACATGATAATATCTACCAAGTTATTTTTTAAAATAGATACTATTTACTAAGCTAACTGCAATTTTCAAGCCATCAGCAAAAACATACAAGGATTGTGTATTTAGTTAGTTGTGATCCGAATGAGGTTATGACTAAATACATGACCTACCGTTTGGCTCTGATTATAAAGCAAAAGCATGCAGGAAAGAATAAGTACTTATAAATATGCACGCCTGTCACAGCTACCACCCAACATAAAACCATTCTTTTGTGTTAATCTAATGACATCTGTCAGTGAAAGGCAATGAATTGACAATGAAGAGGACAGGAGAAAACATAGAGGTTTACACATTTCTATCCTACTTTAGTTGATAATTGTAACCTGTTTGTTTGATTCCACTGGCCTTGAAAGCCTTTTCACAATCAAATGCACCTGATATATTTCCAGCTTACTAACAAAGTAGTTCACATAAGAGTCCTTTGCACACATCAAAAGAAAATAAAATCCAAGTACCAATTATATCTATGTGCAGTCAACATAAAAACCTATTGTGTCCAATGAAATCAATCATGTTTGCAGAGCATAAACAGATTATGAATATTTCGGCAACTTGTCAAAGGAATGGGACATAAATTTTTCCATGTAATTTGATCCAAACAGCTTTCATAGCCAGAATCAAGGAAAAATGCTTCCAATAATCCATGATGATTCCAAAAACTCGTACAGAGACAAGCGATGATAGAACTTAGTAGCATTTTGAAGGACTCTGTAATATTGAGGACAGAAATTACACGACACCCAAAAAAAACTATAATAAAATATTCAGTTCAGGGATGGACTTCCATAGAATATCAATATAAAAAATCCCAACCAAAAACTTCTGCAGCAATTCGATATATAATAGATAAAACAATTTTTCTCAATTTAGTGCCACGATAGAGCAAATCCTAAAGTCGAAATATGATCGATTCAATGTTCAACGAGTGATTTTCCTTTCTTTCTTTGGAGAACAAAAGGACCACCGAATCAATTATAAACGAAAATAGCTAGATGAAGAAACCCTAACCTGAGCGCCAGTTTTAATGGCGGCCTGAATAATAGCTGAAGCATTCAGGTAACTCAATCGAGCAGCAGGAGGGCCAATATGCAGAGCTTCGTCTGCACTTTTTGCGTGGAGACTTCCTTTATCAGCGTCGCTAAAAATGGCCACAGTTCTCATGCCAAGCCTTTTAGCCGTTCTCATAACACGGCAAGCAATCTCTCCTCTATTTGCTATCAGTATCTTGTCTATGCTTCTCCTCTGAATCTCTGGTGTTGCAGATAAAAATAGCTTCTGGTTAAATGAGAAGAGATAATTCGAAGGCAACCAAATTTTAGGGTTTCTTCGAAGTAGCGGAGACGCCACTGAAGCCATTTCTGAGCCTTCTCTGCAAAATTGGGAAATGAATAATGCTTGTTTCTGCAAAATTGGGAAATGAAGGACATAATTGTTAATTATTTGTAATTCGCGCCTAGAATTTTGCTAATGCCACCCAACTGGGTGGAGAATTAGAAAATGGGTGCGAATAGTAATTCTCTGACGAGGCGAATAATGAATGGATAATCTTAACTTAAGTAATTTAAAGGCACAGCTTTACGATGTTTTAAAGGAATTTGACCTCTAATTAAGGCCCCCCTTTCCTAATATTTTTGGGAATTTATTAAAAATATTTTTAAAATTTTGAACTATTGAAAATAAATCCCAAACTTTTAAAACTCATCCATGTTTTTTTCTCTTTTTTTTGCTGAGTAGACAAATATAACGTTCATGTTAGTTTTAAAACCGTGATGGCATCACGGTGTATTAAAAATTGTGATGGTTATGGCGAGTTATAAGTCAAACGTTTGAAGCGTTGGGGCATGTGAAGAACAGTGATGATTTATTAAATTATCATGATTCTAATTTAACCGGCATAAGAACCCTTAATGACCATAGATTTTTAAGTGTCGTGATGCCTTTTTACGACCATCGTGGCTTTTTAAGTACCGTAATACTTCAAAACATTAAACTACTATCACAATAGTGAACCTAACGTGATGTCTTCATTGTTCTAAAACTACCATAAAAGCTATTTTGGTCCAAAAAAAAAAAAGTAAAAAGTGAAAAAAATTAGTATAATGAGGTTTTGAAAATTTTGGGTTATTTTTAATAATCCAAAAAATAGGGTCTATTTTGTACAATTTTCTTATATTTTTATTGGGTCGGTATTGCATCGACATGTGGATGCTTAAAAGTTGCACAAACGCCTTTTAGTGATTCAAATTGAAACATGCTCATCTAAGGGCCAATAATGAATCTTGTTTTTTATTTTTATTTCTTTATTTAAAAATATATTACTCTAAAGTTTTGGATAAGGCTCATTTTTACAAGCAAGATGAAATAAAATTAATAAAATTTATTTTGAATAAAATATATTGACCAAAATAAATTCAAAGATATTTTAGTGATTTGTTATTTACATTTCTTTTTAATCATTTTTATTTAGTTGTATTTATAAAAATGCATCGACGCACCAAAATTTAGATTAGTATTAATAAAAATAAGATACAATACTAATTTTCGGGAGTAGGAAATGGCCATTTATGAGATCTCAACCAACACGCTCACATCATGTGGACGGGGTACATTGCCCTAATGCCATAAAAAGGTCGTGCTAGTCCCGCCTATGTAGGGTCCCGAAAATGTTGAGCTGGGAATGGTCTTAACATTTGTCTTTTTATGCACAAAGTGGCCGCTCTTATGACTCGAACCCGTACTCTTGTGCCGGCTACCTGAGTCTTTTACCGTCACACCACGTGACAGCCCCTTGGCAATGGCCCTAGTGCCCAATGCTAAAAAAAGCTAGCACCTGGCCTTAGTGCCAAGTCAAGGTTGGACCACCTCCGGCCTAGGCTTGGACCTCTTCACCTTGGTCAGTGTTGGGTTGAGCTCAAGACAACCTTATGGGAGCTAAGGTTGAGCTAGGGCAAAGGCCATGTTGCCGACCCTAGATGCAAATGGGTTGTTTCAGGTCCTAACCTAACTTGATCCTAGTTTGGTATGGAGGTGTGTTATACTTTGATTGTTTAAGTTGGCGCTATATATGTATTGGATTGTATACTATGAGACCATTTATCTTTGTTACAAATTACGACCGGCCATTAGATGTCATATTAGATGGCTCCGGGTTTGTCACAATATTTGAGATTTTTTTTTTGAACTTTGAGTCCAGTCAATGACCTAATCAAATATTATGGATAAGAGTAATTGTGACTCCTTGCGCTAAAAGTAAATAGTCTATGTGTATAATTTTCTGATACACACACATGTATGTATATTTGGGGTTGTTCTAGGATATACCACTCTAATGGTAATCCTAGAATTTCCTAATCCAAAACTTTTTACTAAGAAGGAAAAGTTTATAGAAGGTTGAGGCTCTAAACAATCAAATTAAGGCACACCTCAAAAAAATCACTATAAAAAGTTGTTTCAATGACAAAAAAACCCTCAAATCCGACCATCTTGACCTTGAGATACATAGACCTAAAAAAAAAAGAACTTTAGGTCTTGAAAAGAGTGCATCTTGGAATACATTATTTAGAACGTCAATTTTCAAGATTTTCAAGTATTCATAGATCTACCGATCTACACTATTTTTTAAGCTTTAAATTTTATAATTAGAGATGAAAATAAATTTCAAGCAATTATAAAAAATTTCAATATTGAAACGACAACTTTCAACATTATTTAACGATGCGCCTTACTTCGATCGTTTAGGGCTACAACCTTGTACAAACCACACCCTTACTAAAAATCTCAACTAGCTCGAGTATTTTAGGAACAATACTTTTGTCATTTTAAGATCCCTGAAAGTCAATTTCTATAAGTGTATATTGTAAGGTTTATTTATATATAAAGAGTCCACCTAAAACAATAAGACTAAGGTGCACGTTCAAACTCCACTAGAGTATGCGATTTCGGTGCTAGAAACCTTACAATGATCTAGAAATCTATTTCACCTCTAATTATAAAATTCAAAGTTTTTAAAAAGTGCAATATCCATAAAACATTTAAAAATCTTAAATGAACAGTTTTCAAAAAATGTATCATAAAACGCATTATTTTTAAGACTTGAAATCTCTTTTTTTCGTATTTGTATATTTTAAGGTCGAGATAATCAATTAGACGATTTTACCGCGTGAAAATTGTTGTACTATGGCCAGAAAGGCCTTATGATGACCACCATGTTCCACTATCTTTTCTTTCTTGATGTATTCAATCCCTTTTTTTTATTTCTATAATAGCATTATATTTCCTGTTTGTTTTGTCCATGTCTTATTTTCTTTTCCTTTTTGTCGTGTCTCAACAAAATTCTAAATGATCAAATGAGACAGAGAGCGTGTGTGTGTTTTCTTGGATTTTTGGCACCCATTGTTTTGACATCTATAGTCCAAGTCCAAATATTGAGGTCATATCTTTAGACTCTCTCCCTCTATCATATGCCCTCCCTGCTCCTCTATCACCACAAGTACTGTTGCAAAACCCTCAATGTTAATTTTTTATGAAATTAGTTTATAATACCCAAAGCGAACTCAAATGCCAAAATAACAAAGGGAAATATCAGACAAAAATAGTTTACCTTTCACCAGCGGCAATGGGAAGGGTTGAACCTTAAAGTAAATATAGGGGTAACGATGATATATTGTAATCTCTTTAGCGACACGTATGCCACTTTTCCTATAAAATTGTCTTCAAGGAATGCGAGGGTCCACTGCTACATCTATTATTGGATGGTTGATGAAGCTGTCTTCGGAACAACAGTTGATTACCCATAACATGAGTTACATTTAAATGCCTATTTGTGACACAGATACGAGTGTTAGAAACATGAATCCGTTAAAAGATGTCGTATAGACTTGTTAGAAACATGAATCCATTAAAGACGTCATATAGACGTGATACATTCGTATAATATACGAGTGTGTACATGTATGCAAAGATCTACGTACACAAATTGAAATTTATGTGTAGCTCATAAAAAAAAGGTGAGATGGAGATTCACAACTTAGAAATGGAGAAACCCAATAAAATTTACTTGTACTTAAAATAAAGGAACACTTCTATTAGTAGGAATAATGACTTAGGTAAACAATCGGTAAGAAAGTAATTTTTTTTTTTCCTTTTTTGTTCTAAACTATGTTTTGAAAATAAAAAAAAAGGGGAGTTTTGACTTTTGTAAACACAAACAATTTTCATATGTAAACGTGGATTTTTTTTTTTTAGTTGACTTATGTAAACACAGATTATTGTCTATGTTTAAAAAATGAAAATAGGCATTAAATTTTTTATATTTTTTTAAAAAAATGTTCTACGATGAATGGGTGTTCAAAATCATGGATAATTTTTAATTTGAAAATAATTTTTAACTTCTAAAATCAAATATCCTAGATTGAAGAATGTCATTTTTGTAAAAAGAAAACATCATCATTCATTATCATCAGAGCTTTTTTTTCAATTATTTGGAGTCGATTGCATGAAGTATGGTCCGCAATTCTAATAAGGAAAGTATATAATGAGACCATTTACTTTTTCTACGAGGTGGTCACAATTAATCTTGACCATTGGATGTGAAATTAGGTGGCTACATTTATTTCATTGACCAAGCTCAAAGTTCAAAAGAAATTTTATCGAACTTTGTGACACATCCAAGCTATCAAAATTCACATCGAATGGTTGTAAATAACTATGAACTCCCTATTCCAAAGGTAAATGGTTTCATTGTATGCAATCTCAATCTAATATATCAAGGCCCCTACCCTCATTGAGGCCATAAGCGCACATATCTTTTCTCACTACTTTCAACCATATATTTGGCTTATTCTTTACCTTTTTTAAGCCTTCCAAATAAACCAACTCGTACCTCCTAACATGTGCTATACTGAGTTTGTACCGTACATAGCCAGCCCACCTAAGTCTACTTTCTCTCATCTTATTGTCTATAGAATCATACATAAGTTTTTACGAATGTATTCACACAAAAAAACACATCACATTCTAAAAACCAAAGATGTCTAGAAAAAAAAAAATGTTATTGATAGGTATCGTATCCCGGTATCCGTTTCTGAAATCCAAACATGCCTAGAAGAAAAGAAATGTTATCAACACTTAATTGAGGTTTCGTATCCGTTTCTAGAAGTGTTGTGACACGTGTTAGTGGAACACTACAACCCAAGGATGACCATGGTGAGATGCTCGGACAAGCGCGTCCATGTTTCATAATCCACAACAAGCCCTATTAGTTCGTCAGACAACCACCCAACGATCGTACCTTTACAACCACAACTACCTGTTATCAGCAAAACTGCCCTATGAGCTCTGAAGCCACTGAGAACCACTAACATCAATTGGATAGGGCTTGGGTCGTGGTGGTAGCACCCCATATTAGTCACCACATTGTGGTTTTTATTCCACCACTAACATCATTTTACTAATATCTTCAAAAAGCTAACTCCTAATCTATTTGAAAAAATGGGTAAGAGCATGTCTTTCTCACTGAATTACTCAAAAAAAAAACCAAAAAAAAAAAAAAATAGCACTCAAAAAAGGAGAGTGAGAGTATTAAATCGAGTTCTTCACCAGACTTGTAGAGTGGCAGCAGCTTCTAGATGGTGATAGCAAGCTTAAGATACTAGAGAGGTCCTCATGGACTATATTCCTTTAGGTGAAGAGTATGGTCCCATATCCTTATATTAAAGCAAAATTTATTGCTCCTCTTGGTTCAATAGCTTGTACCGCATGTACCACTCATCAATTCACCAAATCATGTGGTACCAGAATTGGGCGACTCAATCAGCTCGGTATAAATATATGATGACTCGCCTGGTGTTCCTAACTGGGCCCACACTAACCATTTCTTCATGAGTGGTAAGTTAGAAATAAATAAAGTTTAAAACATAAAAAGGCAATAACAAAGAAATAAAATTTTGGGAACTGAGCCAAATTTCAAGATCGGACGGTTCTTTAAGCGAACTAGACAATTTTTATTGGAAACTATTTGGTTCCTATTATATTAAATCGATCTGGATCGAACGGTTCGGATTTTGATAGAAATTTTTTAAAATATTGGATCTAAGTACGATCTATTTTAGAAACATTATCGATATCTATATGGATGGATAGCTCTTGTGATGAAGAACAACATATCAAATTCAAGTTCATTTGTGACGGACCACCAATTTTAAGAAATGGCACTTTGCGACGTCAGATTAGGCTCAAATTTGTAACTTGAGCTTTTTGGATTAATGTCTTTCTCCTATGAAAGTTTTAGATCAGTTGAACAAGGATTTTGAAGGGTTCCTGTGTAAACCTTTGGGGCACTTTGGTCTAGACCTTGAACCTTTGGATGACTATTTGAAGCAACTTTGACCAAAGTTTGACCATCCTCTATTTTGGATTGGCCGATGCGCCAGTTTTGACTACGCTACTAGCTTGGATTCCTTTTGTTCATCTGGAAGTTTCCTTTCCTCATCTTATGGGGTCTGCTAATTTTGAGCATATTTTGAGACTACTTTCACCGACTATTTTAAGTTCCAGTGATTTCCCTTTTCAACAATTACCATTCCAGCATCTAAATTTTCGAGATTTTTAAGTGTTCATAATTTGCTCGATCTATACTGTTTTTTAAGTTTTAAATTTCATAACTATAATTGAAAATAGATTTACAAACCATCATAAAGATTTCCGATAGTTGAACTAACATCATTTTGGGGGTACGCCTTACAATGATTGTTTAAGGCGCCGACCTTATAAAAACCTCACCCAAACCATTTTCCTCATTTGAGCCCATTATTTGGTGTGATGAGGCTTAAGGATAGCCCCCACATATAACAACCAATTCAAACATGCATTATTATTATATGTATTTTAGTGCAATGCATGGTATTCCACTTAATATAAGTGCTGCTTTTTTTTCAATCTTTCCAAGTGCTCTTCTTGTAAGCAAAACCCACTGTCATTGAGTAATCAGATTGATTGAACAGGGTTTTATTAAAATCCCACTTAAGCTAGTGCCTCAGTCACTCATTAATATCTACGCATTAATAAAATACAACTTTTGTTAGTATAAATATTATTAATTAATGCAACTTTTGCTAGTATAAAAAATAAAAACAATAATGGTTTTTGGCGCTTTATAAGGGAGGACAAAGCTCTGCCGTGTTACTACTACTGCCATGGCTGCTAATTTAAAGTTTTTGATCGTAGTTGCTGCTGCTGCTGCAACAGTTTCAGTTTCTGATGCTCAGCTCTCGTCAACCTACTACGACGGCACGTGCCCTACCGTTTTTGACATGGTGAAGTCTGTCGTGCGCTCGGCCATCAACCGAGAGAAGCGAGTCGGGGCTTCCATCGTTCGCCTCTTCTTCCACGATTGCTTTGTTAACGTACGGTATTTGTGAAACTAACATTTTTTTTTATGTTTTATGTAGTCATGTCAGGCATGTTTGTGAATTTGTATACTCGATTCCTTGTGTGCCTTGTTCGTCCTGTACTCCACACATACAAAGAAAGCAAGAAAAAGAAGCAAGTGGATGTAAAAGGAGAAAATGAACTCATCTCCCAATCCTGTCTGAGCGTCCGAATTTAGTTTGCTAAACCACATCTTGTGGACAGAGCATGCTCAACCCTAAATATATCAAGGGGGCTTAGGCTCTCTTGTACAGCAAGGCTATTTACTTTTGGTATAAAGCGATCACAATCATTTTTTGCTATTAAATTTGAAATCGGCTACATGAAGGTAATGTCATTGACTAGGCTGAAAATTCAAAAAAAACGTTCTCGAACTTTATGATACATCTTAAGCTATTAGAGTTGACAGGAACAAAGGTTGAAAAGTGATTGTGACTTTTTTGTACTAAATAAATATAATTATTCCTTAGTTCTGGAACAAAGCTGGCTAGAGGGTTGTGCATTGTATGAAACAATAAAATACAAAGCAAAAATAAATAATCAAACAAATATGAAAAAATTTGTAATCACATGAAATCCTCTTTTTATCCTTCCTTTTAGGGTTGTGATGGAGGGCTACTATTGGATGACAACCTCCCAGCCTTCGAGAGTGAGAAGAACGCCCTTCCCAACAAAAACTCGGCAAGGGGATTTGAGGTGATAGACAAGATTAAGGCAGCCACTGAAAATGTGTGCAAAGGGGTGGTCTCATGTGCAGACATCTTGGCCATTGCTACACGTGACTCTGTTGTAGAGGTCGAGTTTGCTTTTTTATGCTCTGACCTCATTTATATGTTCATACTTCTTACCATCATATACGCATATAAATATCGAAAAAGACATAAACCCCTCTCTTTAAAATTATAATCTCAATAACCTCCTTGTCCCCTTGTCTTGTAAATATCCTTCGAATCCCTCCAAATTAAAAGGGACATTTAACCCCCTGACTTTTTTCATTGTCTATATTACAAAATTTACTTCTTCTTCTTTTTTCTAATAACCTCATCATAAACATTGAGTTTGTAATGCCTCTTTTAACTTACTTGTGAGGCGAGATAAGTATTCACAGAAGGTCGCTATAGAGAGGGAAGAAGAGGTCCCCGGTTCACAAAGAAAGAGAAAGGAAAGGAGAAATTTCCCAGGATTTAGATATATGGGTGATTAAAAAAATAAAAAAAGGTAAATTTTGTAACTTAGATAATGGAAAAGGTAATGAGGTGGTTAAACGTATTTTTTATTTAGTTTGGGGTTCATGGTATGTTTATAGTATGAAGGGATTTTTTGGGATTATAAGTTTAGAGTTAGGGGGTTTATGTCTTTTTACCTATAACTATACACAAGTAAGTAAATAAGTCACAAAGTGTGCAATAAAATTATATATATATATATAAAAAAAAAGGTCCCAGTTACTCATGCGGGTGTATGTGAAATTTGGTGTCCTGGGATATGTCACTAATTCAGCTTGAATTTTAAAAACATTTTCTCGAAATTTTGTGACACAGTCATAGCCATAAGATTTCTACTCCAAAATCTTTGTTTTTAAGAAGGTTAAACATTATTTTTGCATGATAAAAAAGCTTGGAGGCCCCTCTTGGCAAGTCCTGGTGGGAAGAAGGGATGCAAGGACTGCAAACAAGCAAGCAGCGGACACTGACCTTCCCCCCTTCTCTGCGAACCTCACCCTCCTCATCAACATGTTCCAGCAAAAGAACTTCACAGCAAGAGAGTTGGTGGCTCTATCTGGTGCTCACTCTATCGGCATGGCTCGATGCACCACCTTCCGTGACCACCTATACAACAACACCAACCTCGATCCGATAGCGACAACCGATCTTAAGGCCAATTGCCCGCAAAGTGGTGGAGACGACAACCTTGTGGGGCTGGACCACCAGAGCCCGAACCGATTCGGGAACAACTATTTCCAGGGTTTGATGAAGAAAAGAGGGTTGCTAAACTCTGACCAGGTCCTCTTCAATGCAGGATCAACTGATGATGTTGTGAGAACATATGGCGACAATGCGCAGATGTTCTCCGATGAATTTGCTAGTGCTATGGTGAAGATGGGGAACATGAATCCCCTAACCGGAAGCAATGGAGAGATTAGAACAAATTGTAGGAAAATTAACTGAGCTTACACAATGGCTATGGTAGCGCAACCTCTGTTTTTCTTTTTGAATCATGAAATCAATACTTCATTGGAATCTTTTTTATTCAGCAAATTTATGCTAATATCCCCTATAATTAGAGGAACTCAAAAAACATCCCTCAGATTTCATATTTTTTCATGTCCCCTTTTTTTAACTTTTTCTTTTTCTTTTGCCAAAATAACCGCGTTCAGATTTCGGAATACAACCTCCATTCTTGGGGTCCTTTTTCCTTATTGAGATGGATTCGAAACTTGAAGTCTTGAACTAGTTTTTCTGTAACCAATCTAGAGCGGAGCGTAAAGTTCTGTTGGAGTAATGCACATCAAACAATCCCTCAAACAGACAAAAATTCACAAAATCAGAAAATTACCCTGTTCATTTACAAAGAACTTCTACTTTGAAATTACATAAAAAAAGTAACATATTAGCTTTACTGTCTTTATGTAATTTAATTTCAAACTGGGAATAATGGTCTATCGTATATGTTTATACAAAACAAACAATTATATCATTGTAGTCACAAAACCCTAACGTCAAATAGTCGTATATGTTTACACAAAACAAACAATTATATCATTGTAGTCACAAAACGGTAACGTCGAATAGTCGTATTTGTTTATACAAAACAAACAATTATAGTCACAAAACCCTAACGTCAAATAGTATTTGGATTACAATGAGTAAACATTTTCTTACTGTCAAAGCCATTTTCAAAGCTTTAAATCAATTTTTTTTTCTGGGAAAGGGACTGGGGTCTTAGTAGTAGCACCTCCACACTCTAGTTACCACATTGTAGTTGTCAATCCCACCACTAACACCACCCCACTAACACCTTTAAAAAAGTTCAACTCTTAATCTACTAGAGAAAATAGGTAGGGCCTTGTCTTCCCCACTGAATTATCAAAAAAAAAAAAATTATTGTTTTTGTTGTAGAGACTGCCACATAACATTTTTGGTGTTTTATCAACCTCAGAAGTTCCATTTTGTTGAGGGTGAACATTTACGGTTCAATATGTAAGAACACAATTTTCCTTTCAGATACGTCGAATGTAAGATAATTTAAATATCAGAAAGGTCCCAGACAGTTTTTGTCATGCAACTCATATTTGTTTATTGTAAAGTTTTAATTTTAAGTCAATAAATAGTGACAAGTTGACATTTAAAAATAGAAAATCATTGCCGCTTAACAACAAACAATTTCAGGCTTTCAAAACCCAAAAGACAATCTCTTTGATCAATGAGCATAGAATTTGGAGCGGCACGATACGTCTCCATAGATGGAGCATGACAAATAAGAGATTAATGCAACATTTTTTATTTAAATCTATTTTTAGGTGTACTTCAACTGAAAAAAATAATTTGACCCGTATTAAGAATATAACTCAAAACATCACGTTGTGACGCCCCAACACAGATAAAAATTAATAATTTAAGGAAGAACAAGACTTTATGCAAAAGTTTCGAGATGAATGCTTTCACAAAAGCAATATGCAGAGATCCTATCAACTTGGAGAGAGCATTGATACAAGGTAAGCACCGTGACCGCTCCTTCATAGGAGGGAAAAAGTTCATAGTTCAACTCTCCCTTAGCTTTTAGAGACAATAAAATTTAGAGAGAATGTGATTAGTATATCTAAACAAGAAGAACACATGGACTTTGGATTCCCATTGATTCTGGATCCTTTTCACACACGATCACCATCTATTATGCGCCCTGTGTTGTAGGAGTCTTCATCCTTTTCAATCATAAATCGATGAGAGAGAGACAAGGTTTCTCCTTGTTTAGATATATTATCAATTTTCTTCTTTGTTCCTCTTTTTTCTCTCTTAGCTTAAAGAGAAAAGGTGAGACTTGCATTGCCCGAGTAGGTGAATATGGGCCAACTACAACATCTTGACAATGCTTCATTTTTTTTTCATTGCATCAACAAATTTCATTTCATAAACGAAAGGAGGAATAAGCCACTACTCCCACAACAAAAGATACGGACTTGATTCATCGATAGAGTGTGTGCGTGTGTGTGTGTGTGAGAGAGAGAGAGAGAGAGAGAGAGAGATTTGGGAAACACTTACATATCAATATAAAACGGGGCATACAAGATTCTAACTGATGTCAGCAGGAAACAATTAAAACTTTAAAACCAACAGACTTTGCAACACAGTAAAATGCAAAGTACATGAAATATGCTAAAAAGAAAAAAAACACGTTATTGGAAGTGCTAAAAATGAGAAAGAAAAACAAAAAAAGGAATGGAATTACTGCACGGTATGGTTGGTTCATGGCCAGGCCTTTACATGAAAAAATCTCTACTTATTAGTCATATGGTATATAGGCTTCCCAATAATGGGTGTCCATTCCCTGCTTCATTTCCATTATAAAACTTACAAAAAATGTGAGAGAACTCCTCAAAGGTCTCAATAGAAGATAAAAGAATTCCTAGCAAGCACCAAGATTCATGCCAATGATCATCCACTCACAAAATAACTGCCCCACGCACAAAAAAGACCCAAGGCTGTACTTTCCTCTCAATCTCGGGCAAGCACACAGATCCAACCTTACAAGAGTATCCCCCCAGTATATTGAGATCAATAATAGTCCAATGCAGATTGCAGCCTCCCTCAAATGGGCCTAACGGTAGTAGTGTTCACCATATTTTGTTGCGGACCCAAAACAGAAGAAAAACAATTCCAAGTACAATGGCAACCGGGGCCCACTTTCTAATCAGAGCCTGAAAAAGAAAACTCAGCAACATAGAAAGACATTCACAGAATAGTTCGCCATATTTAATATTTTATTATTTAGCAATCATTGATTATCAAGGGTTTGTGTAGGACTGGTGCTTAAATAGAGAAGGCTTTCTGCAGATGGGTTGTTATCTATGTAAAAATTATATTGGTTTATATATATATATATACACACACACGTGCACACACATATATAAATATATATATTTCATTTATCCAAAAAGATATTACAATCTCACTTCGTTAACAGTAAGAAACAAATAACACAGAAATTTTAAGTTTGGTCCATTTGCATTGTGTGTGTATGTAGAGAGAGGTTGCACTGTCTGCATGCACATCCAAAAGATTGCGCTGTGTATACGCACGAGCGAGAGAGAGAGAGAGAGAGAGTGAAGTTTTTGCAAAACTCGCAGATGTTTTGCAAAAAAAATCAATTTGGAGTCCACCTACAATTGGGAATCATTCAAATTTGAAAATTAACCAACGCCAGGTCAAACTGAAGGTGAAATTTTCGAAGAAGCCCAAATTGCAATTTGGCCTGGAAATCAAATGGTGCCAAAGTTGTGTATCAATCTTATGCCATTCTGCCACTGAGATAAGTATGACGACTAACAAGGGCATGCACCAAAGTCAACTCCTAAATATGAAACTTGCACATTTACCGATCATGTGCACTGCCATGGCTCATAATAATCAGCATTGGCAAAGGTTGACTGATGAACTCCTCTTTCTTTTATTACAAGTAACAAACTTATATTGTATTGATGAAACTAAAATTACAAAATTGTTATGCAGGTGTCCTCTGGACAAAAGATTTTGAATGCAAAACGAATGGAGCTAGAAATGTGAGTACACTTCATGAAATCACTTCATTAATTATTGTACGTCTAGTTCTAATCTTCTTGAAATCAGATGGCTCGAATGCATGCAGAGAATGAATTCATATAGAGCATAGTTTGGTTTAATTGAGCATGCAACTTAAGCCAGAATCCAAAATTGGGCATAGTTTCCCCTTGAATACTCTCTTTTAAGATTGTAAGAAGGTGATAAACTTCACTGATACGCAATTCAGTTTTCTAGAACTTCCTATAAAGCTATTCACATGACATTGTACAACATGGTATATCTAAATTACAAGCAAGGAATTTAGTTAGAATGGATAGAGAGCTCCCTACCAACTAGTCACCCCTAAACTGCTATTGAAGCTTGATTTTGATGGGTGTTACCATGGGAGTTTCATTCCAGCAAAAGCAGCAGAACTCCTTTAGGACAGCATGGGGAAGTTTGATTTCTTTCTATGGCCCATTAGATATGCGTGATATGACTTTGGCTAAGGCTCTCACATATATTTATGGCTCTCAGGACAGCCGATTCCAGTCTTGGCTCCCCTAGTTTGTTAAGGGAGATTGCCTTCAAGTTACATTGTTATCAGGTGGCTTCCCCATGAATCTGCCATCCCTTTGTGCTGCCTTGCTCTTGCTTTACTAGATGGTATGAGATGCAAACAAGGAGGACGTTGATAGACCGGGATATATATAGGAATTTGCCAACAATCTTCAAGAAGGGTAAAGTACGTACACCTTTTTGCAATAATTTTCAGACACAAATTACAGTCCCACACTATTGTTAACCACATTTTAGGCAGGGGAACTTTTGTCATTGCAAGGGGGAACACAAAAAACAGCGCAGTGGCAGACATTCAAACATCAAAATGAGTGCCACTTTTTTCTTCTTTTTTGAAGACCTGGGTATGTTTTACAATGCTTGAATATGTAATCCAACCTCTCGCTAGATTTTGGAATTATTAACATATTAATACAAGTTGAACTTCTCTCAAAAGAAATAGTACAAAGTACGTCCTTTAGTTCATTCTCACTATTGGCCTTGCCTAATGAAGAAAATCCCACTCTTCCATAGCCATTTTCATTACATGCTTGTATAACCCCTTTAGTCCATTTTCCTATTTCATAAGTATATTATCGTTCTATTTTCACTCCAATTAATTGGAAAAAAGCTAAAATGATGATGATGATGATCGTTCTATTTTCATTTTACACGTATCTTACAGTTTCTTAAGTTTTCCTGTAAATATGAAGGGCTAGCTGAGCCACAAGGCTTCTGTTTATGGCAACACAATCATAAAAAGAGAAGTATGGGTCTAGTAGCAGTCATGCCCAGTAGAGGGCATCTAAATCCCCCACATCCCTAGTTTGTAGGGATTGGGACCACCTGGCAGTTGGTCCCATCTGGATAAAACGCAAAACATGGAGGGAGACTAGTCTGTCCCCCTAGAGGCTATCAATACCCGGCCTCCTATCGATAGAGACTTTTAGTTTTGTTATTTTTGTCTAGGTGGGGGGAAGGAAGGGAAGGATTGTTACCTTCCTTTGGCATGGAGGACAATAGGCTCCCATCAAGATCAAATATGAATGGATTCAAACCCTTCAAGATTAATTAACAGTAACTCTAACTATTTATTGAAACAATGATCGACTTCTTTCAATCAATATAGTTGCACTATGTGCTAGGGGATTTATCTTTGATACAAGGAGGTCACAATTCCTACTAGAAGTTAATGTCAAATTGGATGGCTTGGGGCGTGTCACAAAGTTCGACAAAAAAAATTTTGAACTTTGAGTTTAGTCAATAATACACAACCACCCAATTTGAAATCTGATGGATGAGAGAGATTGTAACCTCCTTGTACTAAAAGCATATGCCTCTTTGTATACTATTCCATGCATTATTGGCATGGGAGCCCACCAATGATTGGTTCCTGCTCCCACCAAAAAGGGAGGTGTGTTGGCAGCCGCCCCTCCCAGACGGGGTTGGCAATACCTCCGTTCCTCTTTGTACAAGATAGTGGACAATTGGAACCCATCTCCCCAACCCCCCATAAGTGGAAGTGGAAGATGCAGATGCAGCAATACCTTCGCAATTAGGGATAAACATTATATAAACAAGGTGACACAGTCATATGCAGATGCAGCAATATCTTCGCAATTAGGGATAAACATTATATAAACAAGGTGACACAGTCATAAAAAGAGAGGAGCATGTGGATTCTTGCAACAACCAAACCTAATCCCTGATAAAGATACAACAATAATATATATATATATATATATATATATATATAGAGAGAGAGAGAGAGAGAGAACAAAATATATACACTAAAACCTCCAATAACTCGAAAACAAATTATAAATAATACCAACCTGCCTATTTAGATCTCTTGCCTTGTCAGCATATATACGAGATTCTGATGTCAGCCGGCTTGACATTTGACTGACCTCTGCAAGAAAAGAAAAGCAAAAACTTATTAAATGAACCTGAAAATAAAGCAGTCAACAAATTGAAAACTTTACAATGTCAAACAATAAAACTTAAACACAAACATAGAATTACCATATTGGAGAAGAAAGATGCCAAATAATAAGGTCATGCCATGTACATTTTCGAATAGATGCAGCAACGAGGGTTACCAAAGGGTGATTTTGCAAGGGAAAATTTTTATTTTCATCAGCATGTCTGATCGACTCTTGAGAATGGTTCATTTATATGTTAACCAACCAGTTGCCAACACAAAATCCAGATATTATTCATCACTTAAATCAATCAGCACTCATCCAGGAGTTCTCTCTCAAAAAAAAAAAACCAGCACTCATCCAGGGGTTCTCCCAAAAAGATTACATTGAAGTAGAGCACAAATACATTCAATTAAGAACCCTCTCAAAGGGGATATTGACCAAGATTTTACAAGAAAAGCATCATATAGACCATTTGGTCAGAGTCAAAACCACAATCACGTAGTTCATCATTACACAACTAATGGGCTTGCTGGTGACAAAAAGGAGTGCTTTTGGGTTGAATTTTACATCGCTACTCTCCCTCCATCACCATCTAAAATGGTTGATAACATCATCATCACGGCCTTATGATGACCTCATGCCACTTAGTATTGATAAGTGAGTAAGAGAGGAAGACAGAGAGTCGTATAAGTAGAACAATTACCTTAACCAACTGCCCAAGAAAACAAAAGAGCATACATGTTACCATGAGGAAATTGACTCGAAATTAAAAATACTTCCACCAAAATTACAAGTTAATGCCGGAAAGTTCTCAAGAAACTCTTAAATGTTTCAAACTTTGATATATACGAATTTTCTCACTTGATCCTAATAGATTAAAAAATTGTGTGCCCTAAATTCAAATATATTTGAGTCCTCTAGTTTTTTTATTTATTTATTTTTTACCTTTAATGAGATTCTACACCTGGTTATGTTTTCATGTTCGATTATTTTCAAACTATTTACTTACAACACGATTGTATATTCTTGAAGCAAATTGTCAATTTTTCAAGTTTAAGTTTTTATGATTATTGATTTTGAAAGAAAATTGCTTTTTACACTTGCTTTATACTCAGAAAAAATAGCATGCCAAACCTAAGTAGGCAGCTTGATTATTATATAATATCAGTAGATAGCTACAATCATATATAAAAACAAAGTTACCAAAAGGCATATATTTTATTCTATACAATATCAATTAACAAAGTAATTTTTCATTTATAGAGTCAAAAACCACGTGACACACGTGCCTCCACTACAATATACACACACACATGCAGGCACGCCCACACACACAAACAGGCAATCTCTCATGATTTGCCTCGAGAATGCCAGGGCAACCCATGGTTGGTGGTGTTGGGGGTGAGGCTTGATTATTATATAAGATCAGTAGATAGCTACAACCATAGGCAAAAAGAAATTAACAATATGTATATATTTTATTTTATACAATATCAATTAATATCATACTTTTCCATATATAGAGTCAACAACCACATGAGATGAACATGCCTCCACACAGAGGTAACCTCTCATAACTTGCCTCGAGAATGCTGGGGCAACTAATGATTGGTGGTGTTGGGGGTGTGGCTTGGGGGAACGTGGATTGAGGATTGCACTCGTGGTGCCAAGGGCAATGGTGGAGAATGAGGTAGCTCTTCGATGGCAACCAAATGGAACTGAGTAGGTGATGTAGTTGTGGTCTGACCAGCTTGGGTTGGTGGGTTGAGAATGGTTGTTTGAGGTGGCTTGGATTGTTGCCACATCAAGAGGAGTAGGTGCCACATCAAGCAGCATATGGCCAGATTCAGGCAGGCTAAGTGCTAAGGAGCATGTCTTCATTAATTCCTTGGGCGGCTGGTTTTCCATCAGAGGGGAAGATAATACCACGTTGGATGGCGAGTCGGAGGTAGATCCGCTGATGTGGTTGGCATGTTGAGGTTGGGGTTTGACGTGTTAGTCTACATCGGAAAGTGTTACCACTTGTGCCAGAGGTGTTCAGATGGTGGAGGAACCACGACCGATACCATCTGTTGATTCTCATTTAATTCTAGTGTACTGGAGTGGGATTTGATGGGCTGGAAGTGGTGGGTGGGTTGGTGATATGACCTTGTCATTTTTGGATGGTCATGGTTGAATTTCAACAAAGCGCCAGGTGGGAATTGGATTTCAGTTTAAGTTGGAAGGGTGTGTGGGTGCATGGATGTGCAATTTTGATGATATATGTGTGGGGAGTGATATGGATGGTGGATGCTGTGTCAGATGGGTAATGATGTTACGTGATGGATGTTGGGATTCAGATTAATGGTGGTAGATGAATTGGGGACACTAACAGATAGTTGGGAGTCTCTGCTTGGGTGCTCTGGGTTTGTAGATGGTAGATATGGGGTTGTGGCTAGGGTCCCCCTATGGATGGGTTATGTATTTGAGAAGGTGCGGAAGTTGGGATATGCAGTCGGGATGGTGTTCTATGGTTTTGCTGTGTGGGGAGTCTTTGTGACATGGCAGCATCTCGAGGTGGTGATGATGTGGCTTTCTGATTGTTATAATCACAAATTTGCCCCTCAAACATTTTTGGTTTCTCTTGCCATGTCGGCAGTCCCGTTTTTGGAGTACCGTAGTCCATTCCTTGGTTTGTACAGTTCGTGTTCCTAGTCCCTGTATGATAGTATGAGCTGCTACATTGCGATTCCTCTGGCTTGGATGGAAGAGGATGTAAATATAATGGCGTAGGTTTCAGATGTGAAGAAAAGTGGCTCTTGGAATGAGGTTTTCTTTGGTGTTTTTATTAGGATGATGACAGAACCCAAATTTAGGTGGCCAAGGGTTTTCTAGACCACTTTGAAGAATTCACCGCCCTCTTCGAGGGCCCTGAAGGTGTCTTGATGCATGCATGAACCAGGATTCCACTCACCTTGATACATTGTCTTGTCTTGTGGACAGCGAAGAAATTCCAAAACCACAAACATATTTGTAGCTTTCCATACCTAAAGTTGAGGTCTGTAGTAGCTAAGGCTTTTTGATAGCATGCATTTGGAGGGGAAGAGAAGAGGTAACATCAGTTCGTTAGGGCCCTGTATTAGATTAGGGGGAACCCGAAGTAGTGATTGCCCATTGCTGGATTCCCCTGATAACATGTCCAAAATGGATGGAAGGTGGCGATTGTCTAGTTTTGCGGTAGATTAATCTCCTTGTGATGTCGCTGCCTTTTATGCATAGCGAGGTGAAGTCCAACAGAAAGTGGCTGTCTCGTGTGGTGACTGAATCAAGTTAGTGGTGTGGGCAGGAGTTTTTGTGGTTTCATGGGTTGGGAATTTGATAACTTCGTTGAATAAGGTTGGGGGTCAGTTTTTATGATATGTGTGTGGTAATGACGTTGCAAGTAGAAGGCTCAAAAATAGTAAAAGGTAGTCTAATCCCAAAAAGACATAGTTGGAAGTAGTAATAAATGATATGGGAATATGTAGCCTCCCCGAGGGTATGGTCCTTGAAAGAGTAAAATGGCGGACCAGAATTCATATAGCCGATCCAAAATAGTTGAGAAAAGGCTCCGATGATGATGATGATGATGATGTGTGGTAGGATATCAAGTGGGAAGGGAGATAGGGGCAAGGTTAGAGACTTTAGGTGATATTAACGTCATGGCTGACGTGGTAGTTGATATTAATGGTTGTCAGAAGGATTGGTCGTTGTACAAGGAAGAGAGGGGGCAGCTCAGGTCGGAGGATTGTGGAGTTTCATTAGGATGTTTGGGAGATACAAGCATGCTCATAACATGATGAGATCAAAAGGTAAAAGTACATAGGGCTGAGAATGGGTTGGATTGGATCTAGATTTGGATACAAAAAGTAACAGGATCCGGATCCGGATTCGGATCCTGACCCGATCATATCCAGAATATTCAGATCCAGATCTGGATTCGAAAAGTATACATGGGATCCGAATCCGAAGCTAGACAATCGGATCCCAAAAAATTATTTTATATAATATTTTATATCTATAAAATACTATATAACAAAAAATACTATATATTATTTTAAAAACTAGGTCGGATCCAGATCTGATCCACTTGTACCCAAATCCAATCCAAATTACTATTCGGATCTAAATTTTGGATTTGGATCCGACCGGTTAAATCCAAATCTTGGATCCATACACGGATCTGGATAAGGTCTGAAATTATCAGCCCTAAAAGTACAAATAAAAATTTAGTAACAAATAAGGTGGAAAAGTGGGTGACCAAGCTGGCAATCTTAATAAAAGTTAAGACTTGCCTTCTTTGCACATAATCATTGATAATCCCCCTATTACAGCCCACAAGATTGTAAATGTTTGTCTTGTTCAAAAGCATTTATTCATGTAAATATTATTCACAAGTTGGTCGTCAATCATTTTCTACTGACTCTTCCTCCCAAGTTATAATCTCTCATTATTAGGTCTCTTCCATCAAGGAAAATTTATAAGGCCCTTCCATTAATCAAATATGTTACTTGAGCATTACATTAAAATTGTAGAATTTGGCTTTTCTTCAATAAACGCTATTCAATCACTAAAGTGCCAATTTCAACAAATCCACACCTCCTATCATGTATTGTACGTGATGCAATTCATTTCAAAGTTAATTGTTCGGGCCATGTTCGACTGCACTAAAATTTTGGCAATAGCGCCATTTTCTCATATACCCACTTAAGGGTGATCGGCATCCCAACTTGGTCCAAAATATTTCACAGAGGAGCCGACATTTTTGTAAGCTTGTGCATTCCCAAAATGAGCCAAATTCCCACGAGAATACGAAAAATAAGTTTTCCTCTGTTTCCAAAAAACTAGATTCTTTGACATGAATGTGACAGCTAAGACTGCAGTTTCTCATGATTGAACCAAAAGAAGCTAGCAAATAAATAGACAAAATAACCAAAAACCTTTTTGTTAATGGAGACAAAAGAAAAAAACTTACGATCCAGTTTTTCACCAACACCAAGAACTTCTTGAACATTACGAGTCATTATCTGATGGACTTCGTAAAGATCATCATTCAACTTTGCAAGGTTCCTCTGTGTATGTGTGTCCAAATAAAGTTTCCTAGTCTTCTGGATGAATGTATCTTTGTAACAAAAGATGGATGATAACAACCATAGTTAGCAATACGTGCAATGGCAATATGTAAATCAAAAGTCAGTATTAATTCAGTTTTGGTACAGAAAAAAAGGAGCCCAAAAGACAAAATTTGTTAAGGAAAACACAGTGCCAGAAAAACATAAAATAGATATAGTTCGTTCAGACATGACTGTATACATATGCATATTTGATTGTACAAATATGTAAATAGGGTTAATTACATTGACATTTCAACAAAAAAAAAACAATTCCAGTTCACATCATAGGTAATCAACTAATGAACCAAATTTAATAACTTGCGGGTGCTCAAAGGGAGACATCCAATTGCAGATTGGAAAAAAAAAATAACAAGAATAAATTCAAGGTAGTAATTATTTATTATTTTACCCATATCTTTTGATATAATTTCAAAATGCACATCAAAATACATATTATTTTGCTTCGGAATAGTAGACAAGAGTAAAATGGCAAATAGTTGAAAAGTGAGATGTATTTTTATATTTCCAATAAGTTTAAGACAATTTTTAAGAGTTTCTTGAAAAACTATTATCAAATGATATAACATGGTAATATTTCATGCCTGACAAAAGATTGATTTTTTTGGAGTTATTTTGGAACCAGACCTTTTAAATCTCCTTTGAAAATAAAAACTTCAAAAACAAAAATCATCTTTAATCAAAGTTTTGTAATTATGCTCCCAACATATAATCAAAAGAAAACCACATCAAAAGTCCATAAAACAGCAGTTGATGCACAAAGAAAAAGACAATGCTTAAGCTGCAAGATAGGCGCACCAAATTTAATAAAAGCATATGGTCGGGCAGCGGTCTCAATTTGATTCGCATTGACCCTCTCGAACTCATTCTTGAGATCCTCAAGATATTGAAAAGCAAGTTTCTTGGGATAAGCACGGTCACACATCGTTAGGTAGCACACACGTCCTTCAATAATATAGCTATGATGATATTGCGTCAAGTAGAACTGTAAAATATATCTTTCGATTCAATGAATGTGAAATGTGGAAGGACTAAAAAGGTAACAACATACACTACAGACATTCCATAAGAGAAGCATTAAGCAAGTAGCTCCAACTCAAAGCACAAGCAGAAATCCCAGCTCATGAACAAGTAGATAACAATAATGGATCCAGCCCGAAATGCACATATAAATAAAAGGGTTTTCAGATCAAACAACCATAGAGATGCTTAATTTAACACAACACCCATTTGATTTCAGAATATTATAAAAGTACTCATCTATATATGTGATAAATCAGGTAGGGGGGCACTTTGTGATTATGCCCCTACACCAAAAAACCACCCCTCCTTTAAAATTTATTTATTAAAAGATATCAATATTCTAAATACCAAAAATTGTTTTCCATTTTAAGGAAAAACCTGGGGGGGGGTGAGGGGGGGAGAGGGCTACTAGGGATATTAGTGCTTCAAATACCAACATCTGTTTTAAAGAACAATATTTTAAGAGCGAGTATAGCATACTCCCACAAGAGCAACCTACGTGCACTCACTCCTTCAATCTGAAAGTTTGGAATCCACTTTAGAATAACCAAATGAGTAGTTTCAAAAAATTAGGCAAGGAGATTATAACAAATACATCCTCTAGGTAAAGTTTCAGTAGCAGGACATGCAGACACAATCTATGAGCTAACTTGACTTTAACTATGACAAAGCGTTTCGATTATTACATTCTGGCAGTATAGGCAATTAAAGTGCATTGATATGCATTTAAAAGTGGTTCAGTAAAAATGAATAGCATTGAGAATGAAGATACAATATTTACTAAGATGCATCTATAGAACACAAAAAACCAAATGCACAAGTCACTTTACCATTCTATAATATTATTATTGTTGTTGTTGTTGTTGTTGTTGTTGTTGTTGTTGTTGTTTGTTGTTGTGGTTGTTGATTTATTTATTTATTCAGTTATTTGGTAAGCAAAGGGCTCAATAGCACAGACTTTTGTTTTTTTTATTGGAAGCCATAGGGCTCAATAACACACAAATACCTTCAAAACTTCAAAGTAAAATGCACATGAAAAGACTACATATCTCAATAATTCACCAAACTATGAAGCTCCTGCTTTGTAAAAATATCAACCCTCTCAGCCTTTATCAAAAATAACAATACTCAAAAGGATTATGAGGAGATGTGCCATAATCCATTCAAAATCAATTCCGAAGCAAAAGTTCAAAAATCCTAAGCAAAAAGGATACTGGAAAATATAAGGACCAGTTTCAATCGACATCCTTGAAGGGTCACTCTGACCCCTCGATAAATTTTTGAACAATGCCTTCGCCTGTTGCTTGTAGAACTCCAAATCTTTTTGATCACGACCATCATCCAGTCCCTCAGCCAAGGGAAGACCATCAGTAACGCGAGCAATCATCGTAAGCTTGACCATTTTTATATGCCTATGCCGCTTTTATAATCCAGAACCACCTTTTCAATCTGACTGGAAATGGTAGGCTGTTTAGAAATACCCATAATTAAAGCATGTACATACAAGACTGTTCAAATCAAATAGAAACCAAATTAACATTCCCAAAATACCAAATTAATAATCTGGATGGATGATAATCACTTAAATGGCTGCAAGTTTGGTCTAATTCTTATCAACATGCAAGGACTCTTAAAGCTTGACAAAAATCCAAAAAACCAGCATGCGATCTTGATACTATATTTTAACCTGATAACCAACATAACAGTTGTCAAATTGGAACCAGGCCAGTATACTGATAGATGCTAAATGTAGACAGCGCAATTACCAAAAGAAACATAGACAAATAACTTCTTCTTTTTTTGGTAAATATAGACAAATAACTTGTGCAAGTAACATCAAGATATGCAGTAAATCCACTATGAGAGGAAGTAACATCACAACCACAGAAGTACAATCAATACATCCACTAACTTGAAGTATAGATAGACGTCAAATGTCTGGGTTTCTGAACGGAGAGGGACAGTAAGCATTATCCAAGGTATACGATATCTGTAGCTGTTTCATTCATGTCACCAACATATCCATTTACTTCTCTTCGGCACAACTTTCCTATCCATGGCATGGGAGGAAAATGAAACCTCCAAGACTAAATAAAACACGATGAGACAGACAGATGAACATATTCAACAGCCTCTCATTAAGTTTGACATATGAACAAGGAAACCAACAAAATTGACCCCTCCAATAGAATCATGACATATGGGCTAGTGAGAAAATGATACTTTAGATTCTAGCATCGCAATTTACCATCAAAAAAGGATTAACATCAATCGGCTCTAAAAAGGTACCTGACAGACAATATTACCTAATTCGGAACAAATAATGTTACCAAAGGCCACAACAACCAAGATAATTAAACTTTTGGAGCATTGTCAAACTTGTACACAATAATTAGGTATAATAATGCATTTCAACACTCTATTACCTATCAAAGTTACCAATAATAGGTCAGTATCCCCGCAGAATTAGTCAATATCCTTCAATTTAATCAATATGAATATTGCGATCATTCTACTGATAAAGATCCAACGGTAATAACATAAAACTTTATGCTATACTAACTAATATGGAGTATCATTCTCTAGGAATAAAGTAGATAGCATTAAATACATAAAAGTATATAAGACAGCCATGTGCTAAAGTAGCTCATCACCATTACTTCTCAAGATAATTTTGAAAATTATTCATCCTGCAACATTTTACAAAAGGTGTCATTTCTAATCCACATACATGACCAAATCCTACACCTCTAGCATGAATACATAACAATCACTTGAAAAATAAAAAATAAAAATCTATCCTATGTTTGAAGTCTTTTGCAGAACTAGAAAGGGAGGTTGACACAAGAGAGAAATAGACACATCAAAAAAGAAGCTCTCTTTTTTTTTTCGGAGAAATATATACAAAAGAAACTTCTCTAAATGATAAAGATGTAACTTCAATATTCCTCAAAAGCACTATCATGCTTTCAAATGCTTCAAAATGACTTTTTTTTTTTTTGAGAGAGAGAGAGAGAGAGAGAGAGAATGGTAATAATCAAGAGAAACTACGAAACCTTCCAAATTTGCTAGAAATGACCATTCTTCAAGGAAGTACTATATGGTCCATATGACATCAATACCTAGACATCATTGCTGGTCCATCATGAATTGGAGTGCTAGACAGAGATAGGAGGAGTAGAACCCTGGTTAAAAATGTCATCAATTTATATGCATATTCCACACTCTCTCCATAACTGTCCAACCCCACAGATTGGACAGCGATAATCCACATATTCATGTTGTCATCAAGCTCATGTGAAACACATTATATTTTTCTTTCTTAAAATGATGTGAATCATAAACAATATAACATTATCGGATGCTTGATGTCTACTAAAAGGGCCAAGGGGAAAAAAGAATCACATACATTTACAACAAGAGAAACAAAGGCTTCAACCCTGACGTGAAGTCCTAAGTAACCTTAATCTCTGCATAAAGCTATAAAAAGTGTTGTTCTCATCAATGAATTACAAACATGTAAGACACAAATTGTGTGAGACAAAGGATGGTCAATTACAATTACTAGTATTGTGAAAACAGGTAATATGTTCCAGGCAATGTTCAGATTCTAATTGAAATAAAAAAATCCACAAACACGAGATAATCTAATGATGGAAATCCATCGGGAACGAAGGGATAATTCATCCTGGAGTTTATAGTTTTAGAGTTTGAAACCCCTTTTGGAGGATGACACACATAGTTACATGATACCTGTATATGCATGTGCATACTAAAGAATAGGAAACTTTAAGGAAACATATGGTTGACGAGACATATAGAACGCAGTCTGAATCCAAGACATAGATACACAGTCACTCTTAAGAAAAAATAAATAGAGATGGAAAAAATTAACAACTAAAGACAGAACAAATCTCACGATTTTATAACCTTAAGAAACTCCAAAACATGGAATGAAAAGTGGTCGGTGTTAAACAAGTCATTAGAGAAGTACCAGTACAGGGAACCCTATGGAAAATTCCTTCTGATCCACATGTAAAACCCTTTAAGCCCCAAATCACCAATAAATCTACTCAAAAAATCCAAAAAATTAAACTCAATATACAATTTGCAGAATTTCAATTAACCATGTCCCCTTCTTCTGATACAAAACATCCAATCATAAGATTCCCACACAAAATTCATAGATCAGTTCAAGACTTAGGAGGAAACACAGGTAACCGGTGCAAAAGCGAAAGAAAACCCCCTTGAACCCCTCTCTGATATGGAAACCCTATGAATGTTAAGAAGGGGGAGAAAGAGAGAGGGGCCTTTTAGATAAATATAGAGAGAGAAAAAGAACCAGGGCATAAAAGGAGATCCAGGGGAAAGAGAGAGAAAGATGAAGAACAAAGAATCAGAGCCAACTAGCATACCTCTTACCGTCTCTGCTCTTTGCTTCCTCCCGCGTCTTCTTGGACTCTCTCGGCTCCTTTGAAGGAAAAGAGGAGCGAGAGAGAGAGAGAGACAACCCGAAATGCTGATTTATAGAGATAGAATTGCGAGGAAAGGGAAAAGTTTTCCGTTTTCTGGTTTTAATGCTTCTTCCAATATAAACTGTTTTGACTCATTAACGAGGGAAGGTCATTTTGGTCATGCCTTTTCATTTTTGTACCGAAAGTGTGGTGGCTTCCTCCTTACTATCATGTACGGGACTCAAAAAAAATAAATACAATTAAAAATTTATTAATAAATTAAATTTTTTCTCTGCTTCAGTTTCTTATGATGTATCATTGTATTTATGAGTTTCCTTTTTAATTAATTTTTTTTCTCAGTTTCAGATTCTTATGATGTGTCATTGTATTTATGAGTTTTGTTTTTCTAAAAGTTTGTGATGTATCTATTATTTCTTTATTTTCTATAATCTATCAAAGCCTGCCTAGTAGTTTTTCTTCTTCCCTAAGTCTATATATTCTATTAGTTTAATTTCTTCTATTTTATTCTCTATATCTCCCAACTTTATTTCCTTTAAATTTCTAAAATAGCCGAAATATTATAGTTCTTATGACCTATGTTAAAGAAACCACCATAGTTCGAAATACACATTCATAATAGAAAGACATGATCGTATTTAAACTTCAAAAACACACACAATCATGTCTCTATCCTCGAATTTTTGATAAATTTTATCGAGCCAAAACGGGCCCTTAGTTAGCGTTTGGGAAAAAATAAAAAAATACATAAATAAACAGCTTTTAAAATATACACATAATAAAAAACTAGATGGTCATAAGAGATTTTGAGGATGAATACTGAGCAATTTCCATTATTTTTTAACTTAGCCATTCAGCAAGTATTCAATCGACTAAGCTCGAGTCTCTTTTGAGTCACATGACTCCACCCTAGTCCCAGTTTTCTCTTAATTTTGGAATAACTTAGAGGCTTCATTTGATGTTTTTGAGAGTCAATCCGACTCACCTCTGCACTAGGCCAATCGGCATTTAGTAATTTTGATTTCAATATTTACATTCTGCATATAAACACCATGATATTTATCTTTCCAAGGGGATTGAGGAGACCAACAAATTACTCAGGAAGCATTTGAGTATAATCTTTATAGTTTTAACATAAAATTGAAAAAAAAAAAAATCAATAAATTAATTGCGCAATTTCGTAACCATAAATAAGCCCCACTATAAAAATCACAAAATGGCTTCTATACAACAAAATAAACTAGCACTAAATAATAAAAAAATCCATTCCCACATTTATCTATAGAGCAAATTGTGCTTCTATGCTCAATAAAATAAGCCAAAAATAAAAAAGCAACAAATTTACATGGGAAAACACACATACATACACACACATATATATATATATTTGCATTGGTAATTAAAAAAATCAATACTATTTAGAGGAAAAAACCAGAAAAATCACAAAAATAAAATCCATACCCTTATTGAAAAAGATGAGATATTTTGTTTGGAGGCTCCTACAAGTGAAATCCTTCCTTGTTTGGTGAAAAATCTTTACACTATGATGAAGAAAAACTAGTAAAAAAATAAAATAAAATGTTGAGAGGAACGGTTACCTTGTTGAAGAAGAGGAAAGCTTGAAACTAGATTCTCGGTTGAAGAAGATGAAGTATCTTGTATGAGGCTTGCAAATGGATCCTTGTTCGTAGGTCTATGAGAGAGGACACAAAGGTTGAGAGAGAATGGCGAGGGAGGCTTTGTGGGAGAGAAGCCTGGGCTTTGAGAGAGAGGGCCGAGTGTTTTGTGAGAGAGGCCCTTTCCATTTTTTTAGTTTTTTCTTTTTTTTTTAGTTTAGCCCCTTGCGATAAATTTAAATGGAATATTATTTTACATCCATGCGAATAATGGATTCCGAGGAACTTACTTCGGACCTTGTGGGGTGGGGATTTCTTTGACACGATTTGCTCTGTGGCAGTAAAACCTTTTCCTATAAGACAAGTTTTCGTCGACTTTTACGCACAAACAAACTGCCTAATTGTGTGTTTCATATGAAAATTGTTTCATGATGCAAGTTTTCATGGTTGGGTAGGGCTTAATTAGGTCATAGTTAATTTAAGTTAATTTTTTAAAAATTTATTTTATAAGTTTATTATAGAGTGATTATTCATTATTTAATGGGTGCGGTTTGTATAGAGTGTAGGCTCTAATCAATCAAATTTAGGCTCTAAACAATCAAATTTGAGCCTACCTTCCAATCCAATGGTGTCAAGAAATGTAGTTTCAATACTAGAAATCTTTGTGATAGTCTTAAAATATATTTTCATTTTTATTTATAAAGTTTAAACCTTAAAAAATAGTGTAGTTCGACAGATCTATAGAAACTTGAAAATCTTGAAAATTTATAGTCTAAAACTGTATTACAAATTACACTATTTCCAAAACTTGAAATCCATTTTTTCTCATGTCTATGCATCTTGATATCGAGATGATCAATTTTAAGATATTTGGGCTTCAAAACAACGCCTTCTAATGAAAATTGTTAGGTAGGCTCTAATTTTATTGTTTAGAGCATTGACTCTATTTAAACATTTGCCTTATTTCATTATGGGTGTGTCTAGAGCCTAAGCTCTAAACAATAAATTTAGAGCCTACCTTCAAATAGTATCGATAAATGTGGTTTCAATATTGGAAATCTTTGTGATAGCTTTAAAATATATTTTTATATTTATTTATAAAGTTTAAAGCTTAAAAAATAGTGTAGATCGGCGGATCTATGAAAACTTGAGAATCTTGAAATTTGACGGTCCAAAGATGAGTTACAAAATACACTATTTTCACAACTTGAAATCTATTTTTTTCTCATGTCTATACATCTCGATGTCAAGATGATAAATTTGAGGATATTTGGGCATCAAACAAACCTCTTCTAGTGAAATTTTTGTGGTAGGGTCCAATTTGATTGTTTAGAGCCTCAACTTTATATGAACCTTTCCCTTTAATTATTAAGTTATAGTTAATTTAAGTTAATTATTTTTAAAAAATATTTTATAAGTTTATAATATAGTGATTATTCATTTTAAAAAATATTTATAAGTTAATAATATAGTGATTATTCATTATTTAATTAAAATCATAAATATATATAATCAATATATTACTTTATATATGAAAAATCCTTCAAACCCCTCAGCTTGGGGTTTTTGCCGGCATTGGTTACCATTGTTTGTTTGTTTCTATTTTTTGGTGCATTTGTTATCATCAACAAAAGCATGATGAAGGGAAAAATAATAATTAGAAGTTTGCAATACTGCGCATAGTACTACATTAGTCATATGACAAAAAGAAAGATATTTATTTGTTCTGGAATTGCTTCATATCCTGTGCTTCATTCAACTCATCAAAATTTTTTTTTTTTTTTTTTGGAGGAATTGGGGTTTTTAGATAAAAATAACAGACTCGTAACCACTCACTTTTGGGGATAAAACGGGTCATCAGTTAAATTTCCATAACCATAAAGCCGAGTTAATTTCACCAATCGGAACAAAATCAAATAGCTAACATCTGGTCAAGAAAAACCATCAAAACGTTGCATGTAAATTCATGGTTTAATTTTGAAAACTCCAAATTAATGAGGTTCCCATACAAGAATCTCCAAATTATTGAGAAGATCAATTCAAGGATTCTTGAGCATCGAAACAACGTCTTTTAGTGAAATTTTTTTGATGCATCTTAATTTAATTGTTTAAGGTTTTGCCCATCACGCCAATTTTAAGAGAGTCGTGAAAATGGGCATTTGTTATCAAACCATAGGCGTCAAAAATAGTTTATATAAGGAATACCTAAAGGAAAAAGTTTATATAAGGTTGTAACCTTATATGTATAACTACGGATGCACCTAAAAAATCCATTGGAAAATGTAGCTTTAATGTTGAAAAACCTTTTGATTGATCATCTCGACATCGAGATGTATGATCATGAAAAATAAAAAGATTTTAAGTCTTAGAAATAGTGCATTTTACCACATATTGTCTACACCGTCAATTTTTAAGATTTTCATATGTTTATAGATGTACTTGATTTTAACCATTTTTAAAATTTATAATTTTATAATTAGATATAAAAATAGATTTTGAGATAATCCTAATAACATTTTATATCCAAATTATATACCATGATAAAATTTGAAGTTGCATCTTACATCTACAGCTAGAGATGCATCCGTATGCTAACTGCACCCATACCTAAACCCTCCAAAACCTAGTAAGAGAAAGCTGGATAAAGAGAGAGAGAAACCCTCCACGGCTTTGACTATTTTCCAAGATCTTAGATCCCATAGTGAGGATGGACTTATGATTTCCAGCAAAACATCGAAACAAAGCATTTTCCATGACAAAGGCGTGAGAGGATGGGGGATAGGGACACAGAGAGTAGGAAGATGGGGGGAGAGTTCAAACAGAAAAAGGCAGAGTTTTGAGGGGAGTGAGTGTGTGTGTTTTTGTGTACTTGGGTTGAGTACAGGACCAGTGGCTTGAGAGGTGATGGAGAGCGAAATGGTTGACAGGCTGGGAGAGGAGAGGGCCAAGAGCAGGCACATTAGGGCTTCAAGCCATTTTATTCTTAAGTAGATATCAACCCCACAGTTAACAAGTCTCCGTTTAAAACACGATTTTTTTAATATATTTAGAACTTTAAATTTTTCGAAAGATCTTCAAAATATCACTTTTTTTAATGGAACCAATTTAAATCTGTATTCTATCTTTTTTTCGAAAAAAAAAATTCAAATAAGCTTTTTCCCTATAACTTTATTTCTTTATTAACTTAATATTATTGAATTTTGGTTTAAATATAAGTACATCAATAGTGAGAGTAAATTAAGAATATTGATTTAACAAAAAATTCCATAAAAAAATTCACCATCGAGTTCTCTTAAAAAAAGTATATGAAAAAATAAAAAAAACATATTTCTATAAAAACCGTAACTAAAGCAATCATATATCTTAAAATAATAGGTAGAATTAGAAGAAGAGTAATTTAATGAAAAATCTATTTTTTTCTCTAAACCCGTAATGTCTTCATAAATAGCAATAAAGATTCAATGATATTAAATATTTAGG